AGTTTTCCCTCGGATGACCGTGGCCCCGCCCCCAGCGTGCCCGGCGTGGTCACGTCACTTCTGGGTGACATGCACGTCACGTACTTTGGGGGTGGGGTTACTCATGGGGCCCGATCCACTGGCGGCGGGGAACAGGCCTCTGGGGCGGGGGTTTCCCCGCCCCCCAGGGGGACTTGGCAAACCTACCTCCAGGGGAACTGATCTCTGTACAGTCTATTTTATAGCACAGGCATATTATTACACTGATCCCCTCTCAACATGTTAGGGTTGCCAGCCTGTAGAATCAGGGAGTGGGGACTTGAAGGGCACCATTGGGCAACAGAAATCCTAGAGTTTGATTCCTAAGAGCAGACTGATGTTGCTTCCTGATTTGTCCATCGGAGGTTAAGACACTGAGCTGCAGACCAGGTCTGTAGCTCAGCAGTTCGAGACCCTAGTGCCGTGTGGTAGAGTGAGCTCCCATCTCTGGCCCCAGCTCCTGCCAACCTAGCAGTTCAAAAGCAAGAAATTGCAAATAGATAAATAGGTACAGTTTCAGTGGGAAGGTAACAGCATTCCGTGCACCTCAGCATTTAGTCATGCCAGCCACATGACCATGGAGAAGTCCTTGGACAGCACTGGCTCTTCGGCTTGGAAATGGAGATGGGCACGACCCATTAGAGTCAGATTCGACTGGCTTTCAAGCAAGAGAAACCTTTTTTTTTTTACATTATTTTTCTCCTGGCAGCCACAGAAGTGGTGGTAGGAAGCAAAACCCTGGGGTGGAGAGTTCCCCACAAGGAAACTCGCAGTCCTGCAGTGTATGCTCTAAACTCATTGCATTTGGTTAAATACTACCAATGGAGGACTCCAATGTAGCACTCAATTTCCCCTGGCAATTCTGAAATGCCTACACACCCAGCAAAGGATTAAGTAGCTAGTGCCTTAGTAGCCAAGGATTTGTAAGGATTCCATTTAGTTCAGTAGGACTTACTCCCTGGGAAATGTGCTTATGGTTGCATCTGTCAATCAGTGGAGCTCTCCCTTTAGTATACAAAATACCACTGTTTAATTGACCACCTCTTGAACAAGTGTCCTTCTGGTGTTTGGTTCTTTAATATATCTCCTTGAACTCAAAACTCAACCAATATATAATTCCATCAGTGCAGAGGTGTGACCAAGAAGGAGAAATATTTTCACACACCCCCTTTGAGATGCACTTTCCTGCTTCCAACCTTTTCCTTCTCCCTCTCAGCCCATGCTGAGCACAGGAAGTTCCTTCCCCCCCTCCTCCCAGCTGCTCACAGTGCCTGAGCTGCTACTGCTGCCCTGCACAAGAGCCTCAGGTTGACTAGAGCACGGGTGCCCACACAGGCCCAGCCCATCTACTAAGTAAACCTAGGCGATCACTAAGGATGCCAGCTCTAGGGTTGAGAAATACCTGGAGTTGGGGTGACAGAGCTTGGGGAGGGGAAGAACCTTGGTGGGGTACAGTGCCATAGAATCTACCCTCCAATGCAGACATTCTCTGCAGAGGAACTAATCTCTGTAACCAGGAGACCACTTGTCATTCCAGGAGATCTCCAGCCACCACCTGGAGACTCCAAAAACGGGAAAACCTAGCGTCACAGAGGTCCCAGATACACAAATTCCGCTAGGAGAAACACCATCAGAAATTGCCAAAATATAAACTGTATTTAACAAATATAGAGTTGGTGGTGCCACAACAACAAAACTAAGTGCATACTGTAACTCTAATAAGGCATAAGATACAACGTTTCCTCCTATCAAGTTCAACTAATGACATGGACTTTACGTCTTAACTTCTAAGGAGGAAACATCGTATCTTATGCCTTATTAGAGTTACAGTATGCACTTGATTTTGTTGTTGTGACACCACCAACTCTATATCTGTTAAATACAGTTTATATTTTGGCAATTTCTGATGGTGTTTCTCCTAGCGGAATTTGTATATCTGGGACCACCTGGAGACTGGCAACCCTAGCAGTCCCAAGGGTGCCAGATTTTGAGGAGTGCCTAAAAAAATGAGAGGAACTGTGACATTGTTGTTATTGGTGAGACTGCTTTTCCTTTAAAGCACCCTCTGTTCACATATACACTCGGTAGATTACTAGGAATTAAAAATACCCAGGAATTAAAAATACTAAATCTTTCTATTATGGTAGAATGACCCTGTGTCTGGGCACTTCAGAGGACAATGTGGCCCTGAGGAAGGACTGTTCTGACTGCTGGGATACGTTTAAACAAATAATGATTCATCAATAAAAGAACAAAATAGGTTCCTGGGTATTTTTGAAGTGTTGTTGAAGAAAGGAACTTATAAATATAACTGATAAAGCTGGGCACCACACACTGTCTCTCAAAACACCAAAACTCGACTCTGACAGCCTTAGGATAGACTCAAACTGCTTCTTCTGCCATACAGGCTAAAAACAAAAACCCCACACTCATCTCTCCAGAATCCAGAATCTCCTCAGAGACACCCCTCCCTCCCACACTCTCAGCCAGTCACATCACACTCATCTCCCTCTATCACTCTCCTCACATTACTGCAATCAAATTAAACATTTAAAGAAACACACACACTAAAACATGAAATCATTACAGGAACCTCTTCTACTGGCTCGAAGAAATGCTTGACGTTAACTAGAATCTCCATATCTATTACTCTGGTCTTCTACAGCTGTCATGATGGACTATGGAAGGGCCATTTTTTTTACACTGTTCACTTTGAATGCCCAGTAAGTAATATGTTCATTCCAGACATCTCACGTGTAGGGCACAAAAAAAAACACATTGGTCTGCCCCTGTGCCCCCAGTAGGTAACAGCACCACCTGCCCCTGAAAGGTGTGCCTAATGGACTTGGGAATGTTTAGTCTGGAGAAGAGGAAGTTGAGGGGGAACATGATTGCTCTCTTGAAGTATCTGAAGGGCTGTCACTTAGAGGAGGGCAGGGAGCTATTCCTGTTGACAGCAGAGGATAGGACTCACAATAATGGGTTTAAATAAAGAACGGGAAGGTACCGGCTGGATATTATGAAAAACGTCTTTACAGTAAGAGTTGTGCAACAGTGGAGTGGGCTGCCTAGGGAGGTGGTGAGCTCCCCCTCACTGGCAGTCTTTAAGCAGCAGCTGGACAAACACTTGTCAGGGATGCTCTATGCTGATCCTGCATTGAGCAGGGGGTTGGACTAGATGGCCTGTATGGCCCCCTCCGGCTCTGAAATCCTGTGATTCTGTGGAGGCAATAGAGGCTTATTAGCTCAGCACAACCAGTGATGGGATTTTTAAGGGCTTGGAAGGGAAGAAGTGGCTGAAGGCATCCTAGTGGCAGACACAAGGGAGGAAGAAACAGCCATCTCCAGGACTAAGAGGAGAACTGGGGATCGGCTCACCACTGAAGCAGAGCCCACTTTGCAAGCCAGAGACATCATAAGCAGCAGCAGCTGTTCAGGCTTGCTAGCCAGGCTAGAAGCAGGTTCAGAAAGAAGTTGTATTTGGGGGCACCAGGCCCTTCTCTGCTGAAGTGGGTGTCTCAGATGAGAGCACCACAGACATTGACATGTGCACAAATAGATATGTTAAACAGCCAATTTATTTTTCATCAGTTCACTTTCCTTTTTCATGCAAAAACAGAAAGGAGAAAGAAAAGGCAAAAGTTTAGTTGTTAAAATCATGGAGGAAGGGACAACAGGTTAAAAGCCCCATCTGCCTCAAGCACCCCTCTGCCATACAGGGGCTTCAACCGCATTTTGGATGGGTCCAGTGGAGGAGTACTGTTGACCCAATACAAAGCCAAAAACATCTTCACAAATCAGCTCTGGAAAACAGGGTGGGATTGCAGCACACACAACACTGATGTGCAAGGGTTTGGCAGCAGTGTCATATGGATCATCCATAATAACTAGACTGAACAAATGACATCAGCTGTGGCAAAAGAAGGGGGGGAAATGCTAGCATGGAAGGAACCTAATTGGCCAGAGTGAGACGGATCAAGACCTGAATGATGTGTTCCCACTAACAATGGCTTTAGAATACAATATTAACAGGCACAGATACTTTAGTTTAGCTAATAAAATAATACAAACTAGGATTGCTTCCCACCAGTTCCTGATCCCAGGCCTGTGCTGAAAAGGCAGCTCCCAGTAATGGGCTCCAAGGTACAAGCAGTGTGCAAACACAGCCAGTAGATTCTCCGCAAGTACATTATTTGCCCCCCCCCCCCCAAAAAAAGAAAAAACCCACTGAAGGTGCTCAGAACGTTCCTTTTCTTCCGTACAAGGTGGTTGTGCTGATGGATGGGATGTGGATTATTACAGAGCAGCTCACTCTCTAAAAGTGTCACGGACATAATGAATAGTAGTATCAAATCTAAAACTGATGTTACTTCGTTGAGCATAATTTGGGAGTATAATGGCTCCATCTACTGGTCAGAATTGATCTATAACACTAAATGTTCCCAGTTTCAATCCCCAGCATCTCCACCTAAAAGAATCAGGTGCTAGGCGATGTGAAAGACCTCTGCCTGAGATCCTGGAGAGCCACTGCTAGTCTGAAGAGACAACACTAATCTTGGTGGACTGATGGTCTGATTCGGTATTAAGGCAGCTTCATGTGTGTACCTGTAAGCATTCCAGTGGAACCCTTAAATGAGAGAGTGCATAAAATAAGGCACATGCAGATGGGGTGAACTAATTGTGCTATTTACCAAACCAACCATTGCAGATATGCTGTTTTAGCCAGTTCTCTTTTTTTAAAAAATGGAACAGTGTAGTGTAGCTCAGAAACCTGACATATTCAAGACATAAATAACTCATCTGTCTTGAATCTGTCATGCAGTCCCCAGACAGTTTATTTATATAAATTTATAAATGTGAGCATTATATGTATTAGTGCTGACTGTATCATGCAGTACCATTCCTTTATTTGATGATATAGCCTAAAGAAGATAATCTGGCAGCCATTAACATTAAAGGTGTAATGTAATCTCTCTGTCCAGGTGATGGACAGCTCAATGCCCCTGATAGGGGAGCACGTGGAAGAAGACAGGCAGCTAATTGCAGATCTGGTTGTCTCCAAAATGACTCAGATGGTTCTGACGGTGGGATCTTCTCCTTCACCTCTGAGGCCTTGGGTAAGGATAGGAGGAAGCTTCCAAGGAAGCCAATGTGTCATTACAGCCCTTGCAAGATCTAAAATGTCCAAGTCATACCTAAATGCATGGAGTATTCCCATGTGGTCAGAAAGCAAAACGGCACTCGGCAAAAAGAGATTGTGATACTATAGCTTCCATAAATACCATGCTGGTGTTATAGTTATAAGACAGACAAAGAACATTGGAAACTATGGACAGAGTCGCACGGGCCAAGATTTTCCTCAGGGGTGTTCTTTAGTGTCAAGTGCAGGAACAGAAGCTCTGGCCAGAAACCAGCTTCCTTCAGCATCTGCGTGCACATTCTGCAAGACAGCTGACATTAACCTGAAGGATTTTTTTTCTCCCTAGAAACAGCCTAATTTAACTGTAACTGCCTTACTAGCCTCATTTCCAAAACAATGTCCAGATTTTTCATCATCAGCCATCATCCCTGGCTGGATGATTGCAGACAATAAACTGTGGCAGACAACATCTATGTAACACTCGTACATTTGCCGTAGTTGCAATAACCTCTGCGATGCAGTGATCGTTTGTTTTCAAACCTCTAGCCTCAGCAGGTGTCGGTGAAGTCACAGATGCAGCCTCAGCCAGGCCCTCAACTTGGACAGCTTTCCCAACCCCGACCGCCTCCTCAAGGTACCAGTTAGCACCCCCAAACAATAAAGGGTGGGAAACAGAATTATAATCTGTAAATAATATGGGATGAGAAATAATGGAGGGGGGGGTTACACATGTATGGCTTCCAGGCACATATAACCATAACATCTGTTTTGTCAGCAAGGAAGGGATGTGGCTCAGTGGTAGAGCATCTGTTTGACATGCAGAATGCCCCAGGTTCAATCTCCAGTTAAAAGGACCAGGCAGCACACAAGTTGGGTGGATCCTAGAGAAGTTGTCTCCTAACAGAGAGATGGGTGATTTTCACCAACTCCTGCCTCATTCTATTTCTGGGGGTCTCATCCCCATTTTAAATAGTTTGCTGTTCTGAGGTAAAATGTGTCCAATCTCCAGGTGAGGGCTGGAGATCACTCAGAATTACAACTGCTTTCCAGATGGCAGAGATCAGTTCCCCTGGAGAAAATGGTGGGCTCTGTATCCTTATATGCTGCTGAGGTGGCCCCCGTATGACAGCCAATGTGACATAGCAGTCAGGGCTTCAGAGCACGGGATGGGCTGCAGGTGTGTGTGGGGTGGAAAGCTGAAGAGTGAGGGGAAATAAAGGTAGGTTGATGATTGGCTGGGACGGAGATGGGGTTGCCAACTCCAGGTGGGAAATTCCTGGAGATGTGAGGGATGGAGCCTGGAGAGGGTGAGGTTTCAGGTGGCGTAGGACCTGAGACAGGTACAAAGCCATAGACACCACCCTCCAAACCAACTATTACCGTCTTGGGAACCACCGTTGCCAATCTCCAGGTGAGGACTGGAGATCACTCAAAATTACAACTGTTCTTTAGGTAGCAGAGATCAGTTCCTCTGGAGAAAATGGTGGACTCAGTGTCATTATACCCTGCTGAGGTCGCCACAGCAAATTGACACTGAGTATCTAAGGCACCCGCCCAGAGCCTCTTTCTAGAGATTGTTGTATTTATTTCCACAACGGTCCTTTTCCCTAGTAACATTATAATGACCTAATGGTCATTCAATTACCATTTTTTAACAAAGCCCTACAGGAGCAGGAGGGGAAATGGGAGCCATGGGGACTGGGGCATAGAAATAGTGGCCACATGGGCAAGACTAGGCAAAATAAAATTTGCCTATCCACACAGCAACCATCCTGGCTTTACTGTGATCCTTCCCATAACTATGCAGTAAAGCAGGTTGGTAGAAAACTGAGAAAAGCCAGTGAACACTCAGAAGATGCATTAATGTACTACAGTGCTGTGGAGAAATGGGGGGGAGGGGAATCTGGTTCCCAAAAGCATAAAGTCTAAAAGTAGGGAAGAAACAGAGCCAAACAGTATCTTTGGAAGCAAAGAAGAGCATGGTTTTATTTGAATAAAGACCTTTGAGCAACATATTGACCCCCCCCCCAAAAAAAATACTTGGTATGATGTATTAAGAGAACTGAGTAGATATCTGAAATGGATAAAATAGATTAAGACAATTAGAAAAAACAGCAAGAAGTAAACAAAAGGATTGCAAAATACCTCTTTGCTGTGAAATTGCACAATTCAGAGATTTTTGTAGAGAATTCCCAAGGGAGTGGAGAGGCAAATAGTATGTTGCTCCCATTGGAAGCTACTCCAGCACTGAGTAATTGTGTACGATGTTGTGTTTTGTAGTTCCTTGATATACTCTGTAAATAATATTGGCATCTTGACTAGATCCAGATGGGATTCTGTCTCCTTCAGCCACATAGCAAAATGGGGAGGTCATACTGGAGACAATGCTGAAATGCTAATGCTGAATAATCTAGTCTCCTGCAGTTCCTCTTGCCGCACAGATGTGAGAAACGAGTGTTATTTTAGCATGTGCCTCTTTGATGCAGGGGGCCCGCGCCAGCCTCAGGGATCACAGCCTCCACGCACAGTGGCTCCACCCCAGCAAAGGCTCTCTCCACAGGGTCAACAACCTCTGAGCCCCCAGTCCACCTCACCACAGCAGCAGAGATCACCTGGCTCTCCCCAGCAAACCAGAACTTCCGCTGGAAGCTCACCGAGCCAGCCTTCCAGACCAGGCATCTTCCCCCCACAGCAGCCTAGACCTCCAGCCCAAGGACGAGCTCCTGAACTCTCCAAGCAGCAGGCCGTTCCTCATCCTCATCTCAAGTAGGTACCCCGCCTTTGACAGCTAGGTATTTTGTCATTCAAAGTGTGGACCCCACAGATCAATCCACCATGGCCAAAGTGCCATATGCCACAAGGAGGCAACAAAATTAAACAAGATGCACCACAGAACAGATTGCACCAGGTAGTTCAAGCAACTGAGCTACGCCACACGCTAGAGAGGAAGGAAGTTCTTCCCCCACTCATACGCACTCTGCATTGCCAGCAGTATGAATTGGGGGGGGATCTTTTCCAACTCTCAGTCAAGCCCAGGGGTCATTTGGGGGGGGGACGCGGGGGGACGCCATCCCCCCGGGTGAGGTGCGGGAGGGCGGGGCCTGGAGCTCCCTGCTGGTGCCCGCTGGAGGTCGCCGTCGGCTGTGGGGAGGACACACTTCCGGTGATGTCAGGGGGTGTGGCATATGCTAATGAGTTATGCTAATGAGTCCCCCTAGCTCTTTTTCTATGAAATGACCCCTGGTCAAGCCAGTGTATATAACTCCTGATCAGGAAGCAGGGCTGTGTTCTTTCACAGCCTAGGACCTAGAGGACCATCCTCATACGTCTGCATGCACCAACTGAGGTCCTCAGGATGCCACCTGCTAGTAGTTCCCCCCCCCCACTTAAGGCAGCATGCCTGACATCAACCAGAGCCTGTGTTTTGTGTATTGTAGCCCCCACACCCCATGCAATGAGCTTCCTGAGGAGATAGCAAGGGTTTGCTGTCTCTGGAAGCATTTAGGAGGCACTGCAAGGCCATTTTATTTCCTAGGGCTTTTAAAGGGATATACTAGATGGATTTTTAAGAGGAGGGTTACGCTGCATCTCATATATTTTACATTTGGATTTCTAAGTCACCTTGAGCCATAAAGAATGTCGATATAAAAATGTCCATTAATGAATAAGTAAAATGCATCCACCTTCTCCTTCAGAGAGATGCTCTTAGGCCTGAAGCTCACCAGAATCTTGGAGAAGGTCTGTCGCCTTTGTGCCCGGTTTGTGAGCTTCCTGGGAAACATCCGGTTGATTGCAGTGGGAAACAGGATGCAGGACTGGATGGACTGTTCGCCCGATCCGCCAGCACTCCTCTTCTGTTCTTCTCCTGCCTCCATCAGTGGCAGTCCCTGAAGAGCTTGGCAAGCACAGCTGATGAATAAGTCTGTTACTTATTCAACAGCTTCACCAGATCAAGTCAGATGAGCCTTATCACCATGTTAAAAAGGAAAAGGTCCCATGAATCAAAAGATAACGTCTTAAGGCTCTCACACACACACTCCATGCTAGTCGGAGAAATGGAATGTTACACCTTGCATAGATTAGGCATCTCTTGGAGCCTGGCAAATGTTCTTGGAATACTAGCTGCAGCAGCCTTTCTGAAAGTAGATATGGACCAGGCAGTCATCTGGATGAAGAAACTATGTACCTTCTTCCTTTTGCTTTTTCTAGTCACAGAACTTTGCAAGGAGTAACGCCATGCACTGAAATCCTACTCTGTGTCCATTAGAAATCCTGCTTAGCCATGCTCTAGTTTTAATGTTCCAAAAGACATGGCTCACCCTCCCGAGCCTGTTTGCTCCTTAGTAGCTACATAGAATGTCTCTCTTCGGGTTTTACACCTCCTACTTTGTGATAACAAACAGGGTCCTCAAAACAATGTCGATCTAAGAGGAAAGGCTCACATCTTGTCCAGCCCAGCAACCTCTCAGTGGGCAAAGATAATTCTTAGGGCTTTATTTAGGGGGGGTCACAGTTCAGTCAGGCTTTTGAAATCAGTTTTTTTTTTTTTCCTCAGCTTTTCCAGCTAGGTTGGGAAGGGGATGGAGGATATCTTTTCTCCTAAATTCTAATTATGGGCCACAACAGGTTAGTGTAGCTGTCGCTCTTTGGGGGAAAGCCTAGCAGCCCACACCAAGCACTGGAGAAGAAATGCCCTTCCTTTCCCTTCCCCACCCCTTGTAGGACAGGGTCAGTAACGCAGAAACAGGAAATTGTCCCATTGCACCTCTCCCATTAAAGGAGTAACCATTTAAGACTATATTCTTCATTAGTATTACTATTTTTCTCACAGAATTTCAGAGGGGGGCACTTTCTGCCCACAAAGGTTTGTGTGTTCATATGAGAAAAGTCACTTTTTGGTCTGATTTGGTATGTATTCCAAAAGTAAATTCACCAGTCCATACAGAACAGTAGTTTATGCTTTTTCCCCTTTCTTGGTCCAGGAAACATGAATGGAACCTTCAGAAAGCTTTCAGATTTAACCTGGAATGACCCAAACCATTCAGGCAGACATAGTTCTTATTAATGTTATTCAGGGTCAAACCAGATAAGGTGCTGGAAACTCCATAACTGGCTCTCCAACACACTTTTTCTTTACAAATAGCTGTTGCAGGAAGCCCCAATTTGGATCGGGATTCGGGAATACCATGCAGGGATTAACTCCTCTCCAAAATAAAATGCAACCCCTCCACACACACTGCTATTGTGTTTGAAGAAACATACATGCTGCCTGTATATTTCTCCCATTAGCAAACTGCCAGTCTGGGAGGCTTCTTTGAGTTTCCAGAAATGGCACATGGGGAAAAAAGGTACCCTCCCCCAATTCCACTCCAAAATTAGGACACTTTTGGATCTACTGTTTGCAAAGATAAAATGTACTGGAGGATCTATCATAGATTTACTAGTGTCACATCAGCTCAAAACGTTGTTTTTTTTGGGGGGGGCATTGCAGAGCCGATAAAGGGTCTCTCTTGCGGTTACACTTTGGTAAGATGTTGCAGAATATCCAAGATGGAGCCTTGGGATAAGGGACAAGTTTGCTTATTGTTATGTGGCATACAGGCTGCCTTAAAAGTTCCCTTTCTTTCCCTTGTTAGTTATTTTCAGGCCAGTGTGACCCACCCATCTTGTTTGCATTTACAGGACTGGGGATAGATAAGCTGGACTTCTTTTTCAGTTACTTCTGATTACTTTTACAATGTCTGTTATAGCAGGCATGATGGACATTAAATGGTTAATGCTGTAACCCAGGCTGAGAACCTTGAGTGATGGGATTCAAATGGAACTCTTCAGTTGAGAGTGTTAGTTCAGAGTTGAGAGTTAACAGTGGGAGAGAGAAGCAGACTGTGAGAGGATCAAGAAGGATCCTGAGTTAGAGAAGTGGGACATGTAGCCCATCCCTAAGAAGTCTGAGGGAAATAGCTCCTAGAAGGCAGGGGTGATCCCTACTCGGTGGATAAGGAAACTGGAACTTGTGTGAATGTTCCTGCCTTCACTAACTTTACTGTCTGTGAGACCAAGAAGCTTATTCTTATGTAAGCAGAGGCTGCCGAGAAATCTCACTCAAGTTTTAAAGACCTGTCTGAATAACAGAAAGTTACTTTTCATAACAAATCATCTATTTTTATACAAAGTTACCTGGTCCTGTTGCCTGTTCACCTCATAAGTCCTAAACCTGATTCCTACATGACCATTTCCACTTAAAGTGAAATAAAACAGTTAGTTTTGATTTACCATCAGTCTCTCATGTGCCATTATAAAACAAGGACAAAAGGATTTTAGTCTCTCCCCCTCAGTTCCCTAGGCTGGGTCAGCATTTACCAATATACATTCAAATTATTGGGTGGGACAGCCAGAGAAAAGCAAAGAAAAAGGGGCTGCTCAGCTATGAATATAAAGGGAAATCCTTTGAGAGAGAACAAAATCATTACAGCAGGGTTTTTGAGTAATGCATAATTTAGAAGTCAAAGGACACCTGAAATTCACTAATATGGCATGGATAAGGCATCATTTTGGCCAGAAGAAACTGCAGTCCTAGAGAAGACAAATTGCCCCAGATCTGCTAAGAACACGAGTTTACTAGCAAACTCAAAATTGGGGGAGGGAAATAAAAAGCAAACTGAGGCCCCAGTCACACGGCAAAGTTGCCGCGGGAGAGGCACGGATGGTGGGCGGATTATCCGGGCGCGATCACACCCCAACATCTGGGAAGTGGAGCGCGCCGGTGGCTTACCGCCGACAATACACCTTAAAAAACTAGTACCTCCAAGGTACTAGTAAGCGTTTGCCACGGGCTGCCTCCAGATGCCCGTGGTGTGATCGCACCAGCGCACAGCATTCCCCTCCGGTTCCTCGTTTACCTGCCGGCGCCGAGGGAAGGACCCGTGGTGTGCCGCCGGCACGTCTGATCGCGTACTCACGCAACAAACTGCGCCGGGGCAATTAGCCACGCCCCCCCCCGCAATATCCGGCCTGTGTGACCGGGGCCTGAGTATGTTATAAAAGTCACTCCAGGAGTGCTGAATTTTGCATCTAGCACCATATTGTGCTACCACACAGGCTACACCCAGCCACCCTCTTAGTGCCACTAATCACAGCACAGGGCCAAAAAAAGTCAATTTCCCAACACTTCCCCTTCTTTGACCTTGTGAGATGGGTGTCCAGTTTCACTTCATTTGAGTGTCTTCTTTCTTTCTTCCTCACAGCAAATCACAGTCCCTGACAAACACCTTCAGCCTCTCAGAATCTTCCCAGAGGGGAAATCCCAACGAGGATGAGGCAAAAGCTGAAACCATCCGCAACCTGAGAAAATCATTTGCTAGCCTGTTTTCTGACTAATCTCTTCTCCTCCTGTGAAAGCATTGGTGTTTTTTTTTAATTTATTTGCAAATTCTCCACTGTTTTTTATATTGACCTCTCCAATCAATGTAGTTTCTCACCAAGGGTCCAAATCACACATAAAGTAAAAAAGGAAAATCTAACAAGCAGTGACAATTTGCTCACACCCATTTCCTGTTGGCCCTGCTTCACATCCATGTGAACCTTCCAGCACATAAATAGTGCATATCCACATGAATTGGCACCATATATGCAATCTCTGGCCATTTCACTAAATTTAAGGGTTAATGCTCATGCATTAGGGGTTGGATCCCATGACTCTTTCCAACTAAGCGTTCCCCCATCAGAGCAAGCCTCCTCCTTTAATGGGAACTGTCAGGCCCACCCTGTGTGGCCTGCTCATCTGGACAAATGTATATGAAACCTTCTGAAGCATTACACAGGTACTGTTATAATTTGCCTGTGCACTAATAGGTGTGTAAGGCAAGTGTATTGATGACAGGTAACTGTAAGTAGTGCACAGTCTCATGGCCTCACTGTCCATTCACCTTACCCATTTTGCTGCATGCCTGACCCAGCTCAGAGTACATAAGCTGAATCCTTCCAAGATACCTACATGGCTTTTAAATGTGTTTGCTTTGAATTTACTGAGTTTGAAGGATTACATGGATAAAAGAACCCCAATTATGTAACTCCCATTGAATCAGAACCATCCCTTCAGTGCTCAAGCAAGAGAATCACCCAGTTATCTTCCTATAATCCTTCTTGCAGAGCTGATAATCCTTGAGACAGGAAAGTAGTCTTTTTGACATGCATTCAGAGCACTGAAGTGTTAACAGTAACCCAACACTACAAGAAAAGGGGTAATTCAATTTCAGGGACTGAGGAGAGAGTAGCAGTTACTAGTAACAAGCTTTTTGTAACAGCTGTAATTTTAGAATGTGATCAACACACCATACCACCACACAACAGAATCCAACTTCAGTATTTGATGGCATGGAAGCCATCTCCGGGACAGCTTACAACTTGCCAGGACTTGTCATGTCTGTATCAGGACTTTGTTGCAGGCACTGCTGGAGGAGTTTCTGACTGCCTGCAGAGAACATGCCCTGCACTTCAGTGTAAAAGAGCAGAAAGGACTTCTACCAGCCTCCACGAAGCAAGCTCAATGGGAGCTTGAGCTATTGCAAACTGGGTACCAGCCATTCTGACTGCACACACATACGAATATTTATGGAGCATGACAGTAGCCCTAGAAGCAGGGTGGGTAGGAAGATCATCTGATCTACAGGCCCAAATTGCTTTGATAAATCTTCAATATTAACTACCCAAGACTTGACAGCTTTTTTTTTTGTTCCTGTGCTAATGCCAAGTAATAATGAAAATATGTAATTTAATGTCTTACATTAGCCCAGTCTGTGTTGGGGAAAGGGCATATATACAAGCCTTTGAATTAATTTTAACAAGGGGGTACTTGGAAGTAAGCAGTTGTCCAGATCCTCACCAAGCAATTTTACATTACCATCATATGACCTCTGCATAATGCAGTATATCAGACTGGAAACAGCTCACGGAGAGTTCCTTAGAAAACAGTAAGATCAGTTTGACCATGGGGTGAAGTGAAACCATCACCTCTAGGAGGTGGATTAGAGCAAAGTTTACCCCACACCCACAATGCAGCAACATGATCTTCTAGCAGTGGCAAAACCCTAGATAACAAACGATGCTTTAAAGCAGAAGACAAGAGTGCATTTGCTTCCCTTTGGATCCTAGCTGTGTCTTCTGCAGTACGACTTCAGGCATGAGGCCTACCAGCAGCCCAGTAAAACCAGGGTACAGGGAGGAAGAGACAGTTCACTGGCACAAGCCTAGCCGTTCCATTCTCATTTTAAAACAGTATATTTTTTCCTTTCTAGATCATATGCAACACTTACAGTAAATGGGACATCACACCTGCCAGAAACAGCAGAGTAGGATTCTCTAAGGCTAACACAAAGCAACATCATCAGTAGTCCCACCTCTCTAAAAGCAATGAGAATAAACATGCCCATGGTTGCATGAAAATCACACCATCCCTGCCCCCTTCTGCATGAACAGGCTGTGGTGACTCAGTGATTTTTAAATGAGTGATAAATTCTATACTGAACCCAGCAGCCCTCTGCCTAATTTTGCTAAGTAACCAAGCCCTGGTACTACTTAGTTGCACCCTACAAAGCTTGCCATTCTGTGTATACTACATTTCGTTGAGCCAAGATTAAGCAGAAGTCATCTCTGTACTTTTGGAACTTTTAACAGCGATCTGGATTGTATTATTTTAAGGAATAGTTCAACATCTGAATTATGGGATTTTTTAAATCTTCCATTTAAAGGAGCCATAGCTTTGTTGTCTGTCCAGCAGTCCCATGCTACTCTAAGCTGTGCATTCCGAGCAGTATGATGAAACTTTAACCTTTTTTTCCAGAATGTCTGTCCAGCAAAAACAATTTATTCAACTTCATCATTGCATATGACGCCTAGGATAGCAATACAGCAGATTCTTCTGTGCACTGCCTGTGGGGCTTAGAACAGTGGTCCTAAATAAAGGTTATTAATCGTTTGTAATTTTTAGCCATAGCCTAAGCAATTGCACCTTACTCTCCATTCAGTCTACCTCATAGGGAGAGATGGAACAGTTATACAGCACTTTGTACACTGAACATTCCTACAGAAAGGATGCGCCCCCCCCCCCCCCCCACCAGCAGCCTGCTTTGCCAGTGAAACTACTGGGATAGAAGTGGGTAAGGGAGAGGAAACTTGTGTAACTCAGATTTTCCCTATCCAGTACTCTGAACTGGAGGAGGGGGAAACTTGCTACCAGAGCAGAGTGGCAAGTTTCTCCTCACCCCAGTTCAAAGCACTATGCGGATAAGGAAAGTCTCCCAAGTTTCCCCTCCCCTGCCCAGCATCCGTCAAAGGACAAATAAGGAGACTGTGGCACATCACCAGTGCATTGGCTATACTGAGTCCGTAGAGTTTATCTAGGTACGCCGAGGTCACAATAATTAGGGTGGTTTATAACACTCTGAAACAAGCATTAAATAGCATATCAACTTGCTACTACCAGTTTATTGCACTTTGCACTGCATAAAACTGAAGTTCAAAGGCAGCTTCTGGAGGAAAATGATATCTTTTGTTAGGAGCCGGCACTGCACTCTAAGAAATAGTGTGCTCCCTAAAACAGCTTGTGAAATCCAGAACAGGGAGCTAACCAATTTTCTTCTCAAGTACCAGAGTACTCACTCTCACCGTCAAATCTCTTACCTCATTTTTGCACTTAAGAGTGCACGTTCACGTACATACCCTATGAATTGGGAGATGTTTTGGAACAAAAATGAACAAAAGCCCATTAGCAGACCAATTAAACCTAGTCAGTTCTAGAAAAGTAAAAGCAAGTAGATCACCTGACATTTAGTGTGCAATTGTGTGGATGCACCTAATGAATTAGAAAGCCACCTATGATTGGTAGCTATATTTAATTCTGTCACCACGTAGGAGAATTCCAAATTTTTAAAAAGTGACAACGAGCATTGTTCTAATCCATAAAGCTTTGCAAGCCTTTTCTGTCGATCCTTTACTAAAGAGGTATCTGACAAGTCTCAGTATACAACAGGGTGGTTGACTTTATGACCATTTAGAATTACAGGTATTGCCTCTGGGTGTCCATTAAACAAAGTTATGGAACAGGATGAGAAAGTATCCCAAGTACCAGTGTAATGAAATCATAAGCAAAATTAGGTGACAATGAAACCTGTCTCCCTCACTTCCACTGTTGGTACAGAGCTTCTTACTTGACTGCACAATGGTCATTGCCATTTCATTATATAAAAGCCTTCTCCTGGAACCCACAGAACTCTCTTGAGGCAGAAAGGCAATATCCTTGTTCAGTGCTTTTGGCATTCTTGCTCATTGTTCTGGTCAGATTCTGGGTTACACTGTGGCATGTTTTTATTCAGCTGTTTTGTAGGATGAAATGTTCAGTGTTTTATTCTTTCCAGTGTAACAAAACAAAAACTTAATCCTGTGTCCTGTGTGCATCAAAGCCCCCAGTATCAAAACTGCTTTTCAAGTAATAAAAAGAGAATGAAAAATTCTTAAACAAAAGGTGCCTGTGAGGAACAATTAAGTCATCCATCTTATGGAAAGCCCAGGCTTCCAATGACAGAAAGTTGCATAAAACAGAAAGCTTGCTGCTTGTGGAAGCGACGTTTAAAAAATCAGACCAGTTATGGAAGAAAAAAATAATAATTGCAGGCATTTAATGGAGACTAACAGAATGTTTGTGCTTAAACTGCTCTTTATCTGAGGCAGCAAAGGCCATCCAGGTTTTGTTCTCTAAGAAGCAATTCACAGATGGTTACAAAAAGAAAGAACAAAGCGTCTCCACAGAGCTCCTCCTGAAAGGATCTCCAGTTCTGAGGAAAGCAGCGCTAGTTATTCGCACCAAGTTATTCGGCCCAGTCCCTGGAGTCAAGATGCCGTAGTACCTATGTATCGCCCTAATTAGAAGAAAGACACTGGGAGGCCCCAGAGCTGAATATCCTATATAGTTCAAACCACAAGCCCAGGGAGAGGAGGTTTAAAACTCTTGGTGGTCAGAGTCATCAGATGAATGGACGGCGACCATCAACTGGGCGGCCCCGGCTGGGCCTAGGGGGGAATCTGTCACTGAAGCCAGCTCTCCCAGGGAGGGGGAAACCGGGACATGGAACAAACCCCATTGGATCAAAATGTGGCTGTAGTGGAGGGAACAGACTTGGTATCTCCTCTGAGCCAGGAATGAGCGAGTTGATTGGGTCGCCAATAATTGGAAGGGTTGGCATTTCATCATATTCGCCGCCGATTATCATTGGGGGGTAAAGAGGATTAGGAGGGAAAGGGTTAGGATAAAGTGGGTTGGGGTGAAATGGGATCGGAAGGGGAGGAGGGGGCAGAAACATCATATGCCTCCACCTCAGGGCCTCCTTCTTCTGCTTCAATTTCTTCTTGTACAACTGCAGGGGGGGAAAAATACAAATATTGCTTAGCCTAAAGTCTAGAAGAACTGCACGCCCACCCACCCACATCTGTTTCCTAATCACATCTATCTGTAGTGATGGTCTGCTGTATTTCTTAAAGACATAGTTCAATCAGAGCAACAACAGCCCCCTCAGAAGTCTGTCCACCAATACACCAATACTACATTTTGAACAGCTTAACAGAATGATCTAGTGTACAGGATGCATTCAGCGGAGCTTGTCTTCCCTTTGAGGTAAAACATACCATTCAAAGAAAAGGCGCAACCTGACATTTATAAGCACCTAGGCAAAAACTGAGCTTTGCTTCCATTCAACTGAAATTGAGCATTAAGGATAAGACAGAAGCTTACAAGCACAACTCAGGAAGGAGAAGGGCTTGCCTCCTACAACAATTGCAGCTTCAATGACCCTCGGACCTAGCCTGGCCTTCCCCCAGTTCTCTGCACTGTGCCTGTTCTCAACACTTATAAGGGAACATATCAAACAGCCACCTACGTCCTTCCAGTCTGTGTCTCGGGGCCTGGAAACAGGATCTGCAAAGAAGGGAGAAGTCAGACTGACAAAACAATTCCAGTGGAAGGCATTGTGTGCTTAACACAGGAAGGCTCTCCTGGATTACAAGTTTCAGTTGGAGATGAAGGCTTGTTCACATAACTTTGACAAATGAAAGGCCTTCTTGGTCAGTGGTCTCCAGCCCACAGGCTGGGACACTGAGGTAGGTTAGGGAGGCCTGCCTCCACAGAGCTGCCACTTTTCCTGCTTTTTAGGAGGCAGATCTGAGAGCCAATACAGTGCAGCGTTTAGAAGGACTAGGCCGATCTGGGTCAGAAAGCTCACTGGGCCATCATGTTGCCATCCCAGGGTTAGAGGTGGGTTCTTGGACTAGAAAACTGAATACTGCTGCTCTAGAGCCAAAAGCCATCTCCAAAACAGGTGTTACAGTAGTTTTTGCCTTTTATCTAACTTCTGGCTTCTGTACAGAAAACTAGCTGGCCTGAAAATCAGACTTGGGGGCAAGCCTCTCACTTCATCCAAGTAAAGAGTCACCTCTGAAATCTCGCAGGTACACAAATCTCCACAACAGCTGGTCATTTGCGGCTGTGTAGAGGTCACGACAAACAGCAGACAGACAGATGAGCGAGCGGACATCCAGGAGTCTTAAAATCCGGAGTTTCAGTTCCAGGGGGAGGACCACCAAGCCAAATACATCTGGTAAATTCAAAGCTAAGAACAAACCAAGGGACAAAATGGCAAGTAAACAATAGTATAATCAACATACCTTACAGACCTGTTTTCATCTTCCAATGTCATTCATGAATATATCAAGCTGCCTATTTGTTTATGGATGCGGTGGGCACTGACAATATTAACAATGAACTTTTCCTGAATGGTATCTATAGGCCCTCCTTTTATGTGTCACACTACTGTCTTTTACCTGTGCCAAGTAACTGAAAATTATCCTGTCTCAGGCCTCATTAAAAATGTGGTCTAAAATTAAACATCTCTAAACAAATAAAAACCAAGACAAGTAAGAGGAATAATCTGAAGTGACAGTCTCATTTTTATTAACAGCAACAAAACAATGTAAAATAAAACCACCACTGAACTCAAGTTTCAAAATAAAATCCAAAGAGTATTATCAACTTAGCCTATACCCAAGCTGCATTGCTACCCTTTGGGATTCGATCACTTACATACCTGGGGACAGAACACACCTGTTATACAGAAAAATTCTGGTTCAGTCCTTGACATATCCAATTAAAGGATCTCAAAGGCAAGAACTGGCCTACGGACGAAAGCTACTCCCTCATGACAGATACTACGAGGGCTAGATGGACCAATGATTACACTTGCTGTAAGAGGACAGCTCACCACAGGCACACAACTGTCAAGCTGCTCAAATAATCATCAGCTGGTGCTCGGGGAGTCAAACAGCCAGAAGTGAACTGAGCATAGTGTAGTGCTTTAGCATGATCTAAGAAAAGGGGTTTGTCTAGCTTCTTTCTACACCTGAGTGTCTGTGGCAAGCAGGCATGATAACAAAAGGAGCAAAAGTCACAAGAAATGGAGCCAATTATAAATGGATATTGTATATCTTAGCATAAAGGGATTTCTAGAAAATGTTTCCCTTTCTGAAGAACATCAGATGTTAGAAGTATTATTATAGCTACACAAAAGTTCTCTCCCCAAAGTTCTCCAATGCTTTGGCAACCAGTCACTTTCAACACAATATCATGTTCCATCAGTATTTCTAGATTTACATAGATGAGCTGGAACTAAAGATCCAAAGCTAGCCAGAGAAAAGGGAGACATACAGATAGTTGCCCACTAACCACTTACCCCTCTATGGCCTCTAAAATACCCACAGTCCCCAAAACCTCTCATCTGCCTCGCCTGAGCAGAGCCTCCTCAGTCAGCTACATGATGGTGTCACCTATCCTAAGCTACATTCTGTAGACTTTCCTAGCTTTGGCAAAAGAACAGAACAAAACCAGCACTTCATTGCTTAACACTGCCAAACCAGCTGGCTCTCCAGTCTCGCCAGCTGGCTCAACAATAGTGCAGGTCTTCGCCCATTAAAAAAAGGCTCGTGGTTAATGTAACTTCAAAAGGCCAGCTTCAGATCTTAATCAATTTTATTATCATCCCCTAAATTAGAAGTTACTGTTTCTTCAGTTTTGTAATTACACAGCACCTAACTATACTTAAGAAATAAACTGCATTCAGATATTTCGAATCTGTGGAACTCCCCTCAGTTCTGTACCCCATCTCAAACACTTGAGAAAAGGACAGCAGTGAACTCAAGTTGGAAGTCGCAGGGGACCTGTGTCTTGAAGTCATTAAAAGTTCACACACGCAGTTATAGGCTTGTGATGTCTATGGCCTACTGCAGCCCTAGGCACCAACTGAAAACAGAACTCAAGGTGTAAGGCACAAACAAAAGACCCTGGTCCAGGCAGGTCACAGGAGTACTGATCTCAAAACTTGCTTCTGTGCCAAGACCAATGGAACTCCGTTTTGGCCAATGGGCATTGGGGGGGGGGGAGCCTGGAAGCTAATGGCGAAATCTCATCACCATTTCAAACATCCACTTGGGTTGAGCTGCCTGGAGATGAGCTGGCACAAGTTTATCACCATAGGACAAACATCCAGTTTATTTACAGAGGTCCTATGCATAAGCTGCTTCCTTTAGTGTTTTTCTTACCTTGACGAGCAGCTGCCAGAAGAGGGTACACCAGCTGATCTTTAAAAAGACGAGATAATTTCTGAAGATCTTTATACACTCCAGTGATATTTGCTTCAGAAAAGAAACACACACACAAAAGGTACGTTAAGATGTCAGCTTTATAAATATCTACTCAAACTATTCCCTTTGGCAAGTAAAAACAGTCTTCTACCAACCAAGCAGAGAAAACCTGTTTTTCTCCCCTGCCCTGTCAGCGGGTGCAAACCATTGTTGCTAGGCAGGCAAGGCAAAATCTGTGTGTTCATTTTTACGGGGACCAGAAAGGATAAGACATTTAGTTCAGTTAAGCAGCACTAAAGCTAACATAGCTAAAGACTGTGATGGGATCCATAAATAGTTACCCATTTGCCGCTCTATGCACATGTAAAGCATGTGCATTTCCTGTATTTAATACAAAGGCACAGACAAGAGGAGCTAGACTTGATCTCCTCCTGCTCTTGGAAACATCCGTCTCCTAGCTCAGCCCACTTGGATACTGGAGGGAAAAACTCAAAGCAACAAACTGCAGCAGGGTAAGGCAGTGTTTTGTTCCTCTCACCTACACAGTCCACTCTCTGCAAAATAATAAAACTCCATCTCCTATTTTACAAACGAATAAGTGGATGTGTCAATAAATACATTTGGATTCTTCTCCTGCCTCCCCCATCCACCCACATCTAGCTTAGGCCAAGAGTCTTTAGTAAGCAGGGCTTCATTGGTGCCTGAAACCCTGTTAAAGAATCCTTGGCTGCTGCTGCGGCTGCTACACTAGCCCCTTTGCTATTCTCCATTCAAGACTGAGATCTGCTTCTTCAAATCAGACTGTATGAAAGCCACTGTAGTATACTGGTTCATGTCCTGGACTAGATTCCGGGAGACCCAGGTTCCCCCTCTGCCATGGAAGTTTGGTGGGTAACCTTGAACCAGACACACACACCCTACCCAACCTTCCTCACGTGGCTGCTGGGAGCATAAAATGGAGGAGAAACGAGTGGTCTAACTGGTTTGGGTCCCCACTGGGGGGAAAGGTGGGGTTATTAATGAATTAAAATAAAAATAAATAGTATTAATTACCTGAGTCTTGGAAACAAACAAAGGATGTTGGCAGAAGCTGCAGTCTCTTCACACTTTTAATGTCGCCACTGATTTTTAACATTGCTGTAAACACATACCCAGTTTGATCAGAATGAGAACAAAATTTTGCATCCTGCACAGAATAAACTGTTCTAGAAAAGAGACTCTTCTGAAGCAACTTGTACCATCTGAGATGGCTCCCAGAGAGGCAACAACACATATACAAAAGCATCAGTACTATTATATCAGTGCAAAACCCATTTGCTCAAGAACTAGCTCCCACAAGAAATCACATCTCCAAGATAAATATTACAGGTCACACAATGCTGCCCTCACTGGAGACAAATGAACTCTGTTTGCCGCTTTAGGGAGGCTATTTATAGTTGGGCCTGCTCATTTGTGGGCTCGAATTCAGAATTCATAAAGAGAACAATAAGGAATGTGTCTAAAATATTCAAGAATTGGGGGAGGGGGCTCTGGGAACCTTGCATGGCACACAGTCTTTTGCTAGGAACTCAATCACTTTTGCTATGCATTTCAGAAGGCAGAGGGCAAAAGAGTTTCTGTTTCAATTCCCAAGGATGATTTTGTATAGTGCTCTCATGTGCAAGTAACTGCAGTAGTTCACTTTCAGCCTCACAAATAGCACAGCACTGCTCCTCTCTCTTTTTCTAATAATGCGCAGCGATGCAGAAAATCTGGATCAAACAACCATTTCAGAGGGAAAAAATGCTCAGCCTGCAAATCAAAATGTAATCATCACGTGGCCCCCATCTGAAGACTTAACTAGGGATCCCAAAGTGCCAGGAATGTTTCCTCCAAGTTAAATGCTACCGGAAGAAACTACTACTAACCACACCCTCCCGTCTGGGTATAGAATGAAGTGAGACCTTACTGTGGGAAGTAATGTCTCTTTTCACTTTGCAAATGCATGCTACCTTTTATTGCTGAATCATAAGACATGACCCACAAACTACATCTGTTATAACAATGAAAAGTGAACAGGCTGGCTTAATAACCAGAAGTGCACAGCTGACGGAAGACTGGTCTGCGCCGCACCCTCTCCTGCCTCAGGGACCAAAAGCGTTCACACAACTGACCAAGGCACCTTAGTACTCCCTGACACTTCAGGCACTGAAACCATAGCTGCAAGCTTAAGACCCAATGGACACTCTGCCAGGGTGGAGCCAGAACATGAGGAGCACAAGCTGTATCAAGAAATCTTACCATTGACAACAATCAAGTCCCCCAAAGGCACGCAAGTCAGGGCAGCAGAGCCATCTTCACAGAGAGGGTGAGTATATTGTAGTTTATAAACTCCGCCGTTTCTCCACTTCTCCGGCATGGACACTGATTTTGCTTCCGTCCCCTGAAAGTAATGAAAAAACAGTTATCATGGTAGTCCCTCCTGCTCCTCCTTGAAGTGGCTTTCCCTCAAAAAAAACAGGTGCTGGCCAGGAACCTATGTTGTGCATGCCCAAGGTGGGCAACTTGATTGCAGTAGACAATAGTTAGTAGCCTCTGGTGACAGAGAGGAATCACTACAGTTTACATTGCCTGCCCCCTCCCCCAGAACACAGGAAAAACTAGTCTGACCCACCCTGTATGCACAACCTGCACAAAGGATGCTTTTCTTCATCTAGCCAGCGGAAACACTATTTAGGCTCCCATTACTTCCCGTGCAATCTTCAAACTGATACTTGCTTCAGGGGGCTTGTAATGCCGCATCTCATATTAATTTTTAAAGTCAAAGCAACACTCAAATTTAACCCAAGGTACATGAAACCCAAGGTACATGAAACCCAAGGTACATGAAACCCAAGGTACATGAAACCCAAGGTACATGAAACCCAAGGTACATGAAACCCAAGGTACATGAAACCCAAGGTACATGAAACCCAAGGTACATGAAACCCAAGGTACATGAAACCCAAGGTACATGAAACCCAAGGTACATGAAACCCAAGGTACATGAAACCCAAGGTACATGAAACCCAAGGTACATGAAACCCAAGGTACATGAAACCCAAGGTACATGAAACCCAAGGTACATGAAACCCAAGGTACATGAAACCCAAGGTACATGAAACCCAAGGTACATGAAACCCAAGGTACATGAAACCCAAGGTACATGAAACCCAAGGTACATGAAACCCAAGGTACATGAAACCCAAGGTACATGAAACCCAAGGTACATGAAACCCAAGGTACATGAAACCCAAGGTACATGAAACCCAAGGTACATGAAACCCAAGGTACATGAAACCCAAGGTACATGAAACCCAAGGTACATGAAACCCAAGGTACATGAGAGCTGCGGTGGCTCAAGTGGTTAAGACGCTGAACTGCAGGCTGTGGAAGGTCAGTAGTTCAGCAGTTCGAGACCCGAGTTGCCTGACGGAGTGAGCTCCCGTCTCTAGTTCCAGCTCCTGCCAACCTAGCAGTTCGAAAGCAAGAAATTGCAAGCAGATACATAGGTACCACTTTGGTGGGAAGGTAACAGCATTCCGTGCACCTTGTTTAGTCATGCCAGCCACATGACCACGGAAATGTCTTCGGACAGCGCTGGCTCTTTGGCTTTGAAACAGAGATGAGCACCGCAACCCTAGAGTCAGATTCAACTGGCTTTTGAGCAAGGGAACCTTTTACCTTTACATGAAAGCCGTTTGTACTAAAAACAAATAACTTCACAAATCAGACAAGAGAGGAGTTATAGTCCTGGACTACTAAATTTGTAAGTGTAATGTTGTCAAAGAACTATTATTTAACTTTAATGCAGCGTTACTCAGAATTTTTTGGGCAGAGCAGGTTATAAATGAAAAAAGGGAAATCACCATACTGGTACTACTTTTCATGAAGTGATTTCTGAGAGAAAGATGAGGATTTCTTTACAACTACACAATGTCCATTCTTCCACCAATCCCTCTGTTATTATTATTATTTTTTGCCATCAAGTCACAGCTGACTTATGGTGACCCCGTAGGGTTTTCAAGGCAAGAGACATTCAGAGGTGGCTTGCTTTGGCTGCCTCTGCGTCACAACCCTGGTATTCCTTAGAGGTCTCCCATCCAAATACCAGCCAGGGTTGACCCTGCTTCGCTTCTGAGATCTGACGAGATCGGGCTAGCCTGGGCCATCCATGTCAGAGCTAATCCCTCTCTACCCACATCTATATTCACATGCTGTGTGCGTATAAACTCACATAATACTTCCTCCAACCACAGAGATTCCGCACACCCTTTTACGTTCGAAAGCAAGAAATTGCAAGTAGATAAATAGGTACCACTTCAGTGGGAAGGTAACAGCGTTCTGTGCGCCTTGGTGTTTAGTCATGCCGGCCACATGACCATGGAAACGTCTTCGGACAGCGCTGGCTCTTCGGCTTTGAAACGGAGATGAGCACCGCAACCCTAGAGTTGGATTCGACTGGCTTTCGAGCAAGGGAACCTTTACCTTTAATACCAGGGGAATCCCATAAGCCAAGCAATAACTGAGATGTGCCCATCTCCAGTTAACTGCAAATGTTAACTGTGTGTAAAAGCACACATATGTACATAGTGAGTGGATTAAGGACTAAGAATTTCCTTGCTGTAGATTTCAGTCTCACTACTACTTCCCTACGCCCTTACACAGCACTAGCTGCAGCTATGCACAAGTGGGGACCCCCGAGAAACTTGCGGGACTGGCCACATCATTCTCCCACCTTTGTTTCCTTCCCTCCCCTCCTTCTCTCAACATCTGTCTTTCACTACCCCACCCCCACTTTTGTCAGTCTACTGTCACTCTTTCTGCACCTCCACCCCATCACTCTCTCTCCCACGGGTGCAGCTCCCCCCTCCAACTACACCACCTTAATGGTTCTGCCAGCAGCAGTCTCTTCTGCAGTGGGTGCAGCAGCTCACCTACCACCACCACCACCCCACCAGCCTCACCATCACAGTAGCTCTGCTGGCTGCTTCCTTGGTACTTTTGGCAGCCACCAGGCTGCTTACCCAGCAGCCCAACTTCTTCACTGCCATGGCAGCGGATTCCCCCATGCAGCTTGGTCAGAGCAGCATATCACCAAGCTCCCCCCCAGCCTCTTTGCTCCCTCAGTGGCACACCTGGCTGCTCACCCAGCCTCTTTAATGGTGGCAGGTACTCCTTCCCCATCCACCTGCAGCTTTGCTGCCTCAGCAGAACGGTGGGTGAAGGAGTGTAAGAGCTGTGCACGCTATTGGCTTGGGGGGGATTAAATCCTCCCATTTTTTTTACATTTTCAGATTTTTTTTGCCAACCTAGGAAGTCCCCCAAGTTTGTCAAGCTGTTTTTAGTCAATGTGAGCCCACTCTGGAAATTTAGATACCCACGGATAAGCCCTCGTGTGACTACTACAATATACGACTACATAATCTACATCTACTGCAAATCATCACTCCCTCCAAAGTCAGACTTTGAAGTTTAAAGAGAGTTTGCAACGCATGATCCTGAAGGAACCTGGCCTTCATCAACCGTAACTTGTGTCAATGCACATGCAATGATAAATCTTAATTAATACCAGGTAAAGAAAGGCAGGAGAAAAAGAGATCATTCCAGAAATAAAAAGTGGGAGAAAAGAAACCTGTGTTTATAAGGATAGCTCCTCTTGCAAAATAATGTTTTCTGGTAGCCAGTATTACAGTCACACTGGACGAATGTTATGTTATTTAAATGCAAAAGGAGACTCCTAACATTCCCACTCAATTTCAGAAGTAGCTGCTCTTTTAGTATGTTGCTTACTTGAGGTACATAGCCCGTCTCCATCATGAGAAGATGAATCAGAACTATTAAAGCATCATTAGCACTGACACACTCTGCAGAATGGTAGAGGGTCTCGAGAGAGTGTGGCACTTGCCCGTCGGTAGCTTCAGAACACAACATCGGCTCCAGAGGATAAGAGCCCTCAGATTCTTGGAGATCAGGAACATCCGAGACCATCTCTGAAGCAAACTCTTGGCTGGATCCTGCCTTGAAAGGACAGCACAGATACAAAAGAGCATTTAAAAAACAGTTATATCCAGCTGAGTAAAGCCATCAGGAGAAAACCAATGGAGCAATAACTTTCAGTGAGGGGGAAACATGCCCCCTAGCTAGTAACAAAAAACATGCCCACTAATACAATTGATACAATTTAGTATTAAACAAAAATTGATCCATTTGTTTCATGTAGGACTATTGCTCTACAACATGTAAGTGTGCACAGACAGACAGCCTCCTAAATGCCGTGATGCACTACTTCCTTATTTGGGCTTCTGTCCTTACTATCAACCTTGTCAAAATGGAATACAGAAGGCAGAGAAGCAATGTTCAGTACAGAATGCTCTACAAGGAACAAAGAAACAGGCTGTAGTGGTGGAAGACACATTCCTTTCTCTCCAACAATTCATTTCATGTTGCACATGATGACAAAAGAATTCAGACGAGACACCCCACCCAACCATATCTACCTTCTCCTTGTAACTTCAGCCGTTATGGACTTACCGTATTGTCATCCGTCTGATCTTTATCTTGGACCTGACTGTCTTCTACGTGCCCATTGTGTCTTTCATTTTCTGTGCTACTGGGTTGGTTGTGATATACGGCTGAAGTGGAGGAGGGGGATGTAGGTAAAGTGGGTGTTGCATTAGCATCTTCCAGCCTCAAGCATATCAAGTCTCCTGAAACAATTCCAAATGATGCTAGAGATTCCTGGTCCCCAGACAGGGAGTCTTTGTTGTTCAAGGTTATTGCAAATTGGGTACTAGAACTGCAGAAAAAACAAAGTTAAACTGCATGGGGTACATGGCCATACTGCCACCATTTGGTCTATAGACAACCTAAACAACAAACTACCAGTAACGTGACTACTACAATGCAAGCAGCAGATATAATGTTGATAGGTTTTTAAAATTATATTCATCTAGATTTGCTATATGGTAGCTCCCTACAGGCATGTATACAATTAGAAATGTTCCACAGGATTCGCACAACAGGGCCTTTCTTTCAACTCTGATAGAATAACCTTTAGTACAGCATACTCATCTCACTTGTATTTAAACCTATATAACTCACCTCCAACTGAAATAAATTATAAAGGACTATAGGGTGTGAATGTGTTGGTTTTAGCAGCAAAAGGCAGAGCAAAAGGCAGACAGTCCTAATATACAGACAGTTAATTAAGATACAGTCTGTAGCTAGCATAACTAAGTTCTCATGCAATTAAAGTTTAGAAAAAGGATATGAAAAAAGTACAGCAAAGCTGTTGATCCACCCAGGTACAAAACATCCAACTCATGACTTATCCTACTTTTAACAATGTACTGTCCTATTAATACACCAATCTTGAGCCTTTTCAAAAAGATGGGGTATATGTTTTAAATCAATATACTGGGCTGGATTCAACCAGCTTTTCAGTCGATGAAGATGGACCAAAAGCATATGCTGGGATATATGTTTTAAATCAATATACTGGGCTGGATTCAACCAGCTTTTCAGTCGATGAAGATGGAAGGGGTCTCCTATGATCAACCAAAAGCATATGCTGGGGCTTATGGGACCTGAACAGACAAAAGCTACAAGGGGAGGGTGCTGTAGTAAGAGGGGAATGGGACAAGACTGAGTGGTAAAGCTCACTGTATCCAACCCAAAAACGTAACAGGTTGTATGTAAAGAAAATGTTAAAAGGCACCACAAGCAACCCCCTTCCAAATCAGATGTTGGCAGCTCTTCATCCCCAGAAGTCCCAAACATACACCTCACTTTATAATGTATTTTAACTAATCTTTGATATGACTGGGGGGGGGGGGGGGAGACTTTCATTCTCAAAGGCAAATTAGAAAACTTTCACATATAAATTACCTCATTACTGCTGAACTACAGCTTTTCTAAGTAAAACTCTGACACTCTGATTTTCATTTATATTTTACCTTTACAACCATTGCTCTTACATTTTACCTGTGGACACGCAAGATATATTTTTCACATCAAAACAAAGAGGGATAGCTTTGTAAGATAATGACTTTGGTTTCTATTTCCACAGTAGCCAGCAAGTGAAACTTTGTTTTCAGTTTCATAGCTGGCATATTGTCAGCTTTAAAAAATGAGAGCGCCTTCCTACCTACAAAGAAGGCTGGTCACCCCCATGAGCCAAGCACCATTTCTCTGGGCTAACATATACAATCCCATCCAAGGGTGCAGTTACGCTACTCTATGTCTTTCTCTGAAGTCCACCTTGCCCTGGTATATATAGCTGATGTCAAGTCCATGGTAGTTGGGGGATTTCTTACTGCTCTGTGTATCTGCACAGTGTCCCACAGGGTGTGTGGATTCCAAGGCTCTTCCCATTCATGCAACAGTCCTCACTGGAGAGTGCTGTGTTCCCTCCCCCCTTGTTGTGTTCTGCACATGAGTACGTAGTAAAAGGCTGACATCAGTGGACACGATTGTATAAGCATCTGCTGGTGAGCTGCTTCTCTGTCTGTCTACAGGAGGATGTTATCAGCACAGCTGCTCCATGACTGACTGCAGCAGGGTCACTATGGAATGCTAGACTCTCCGCACCTCTGGAGTAGGAATCTTCTCCACATATATGCCCCCTTTGCTGGAGGAGCACAGGAAATCAAACAGCTGTGCCAACACTGGACTCTTAGAATAGGGCTGCCAATCTTTTTTGGCATAATGAATTGCTTGTGCATCTCCTTCTACTTTGCATTGGTGCTTGGTGCCATCAGCTGCCTTTGTGGCCAAGAGGCCACATGACAGGGCTCTCCAGCAGGCCCACTGCCACATGCCTCCCTCTGCATAATGACTGCAGAGTGGAAGACATGGGACATCAGTCTGTCAAAACCACCCACATCCCCCCACTGACAGTACTGCAGATGTCTTTATGCCAGGCAACTAATTCACACAATGGACATCAGTTTGGGGGGGGGGGGGAGAGAGAATGGGGAAGCACTCTTCTCACCACATCATCTAGAACCCACAACAAGCACCTGTGAAATACTGAAACACCTTCCCTGAACAGTACACGGTGCCACTTCTCCTTCCTTCAAGTCTATCTTCAGGACAAACCTCTTCCATGAAGCCTCCAGCTTATCTAACCCCAAAGTAAACCTCAGGGCCAAAGCAAAGTGACACGTCTCTTCTGAGTTCCAGCTATCGCCAAGGCATATGTGACTGTAGCCATCACATTCCTCCGTCACACGAAGGTCATCTACTTTTATTGACTGTTTTAGATTACAAAGTCTGGTGCAGGGGGGAGACACTACCTATCCATACCAACACAGTTCTGTAAGGAAATATTATTGAACTTGCATAAGGAAAATATTAACAATATCTTTGCCATATGCTCCACTGGTCCGTCCAACCCAGGAGGGCAGTGAGCACAAGAAAGAGCAATACGCATTTTGAAGAGAAAAGGGGAAAGGCCATAGGAGTGAACCTGAAGTACCGCCATGACAACTGACTAGATAACGGACCAAATCTCCACTGAGCTACGAAATCCACCTTACCTTACAGGGCTGTTGTGGAAATCTGACAACAACTAATGTGCGCCAACCTGTGCTTTTAGAAAGTGGCAAAGAGCGCCTCCCCCCGTCCCTGTCTAGCATCCTAAGGCAACGCCCCTCCCCAATTCCCTCTCCGCGGACAAATCCACACGCTACCTGTAACCCCAAGCGGGCAAGAGGGTCTGACACAGGCGTGCACGCAGATCTTCCAGGGTTGGCTCCGCCCCTGGCAACTCAAGCCGAGCCGTTCGCTTCTGCAGCCGTACTCGGAGTTTCATGGCGATGGCGGCGGCGGCGGCGGCGGCGGGCCGGGACGAGCCCTTCCCTCGCTGCTGCTTCCGCAGGCCCCTCAACAGCAAAAGCAGCGACGCCGGAGGAGGCACCAGCGAGCGCGGGGGCTTCTGGGTGTCGCCGTCGTTATTATTGTTTTGGGTCGGTGAAGCGCCGCCTCCTTCGCCCCGCCGTCTCGCCCCGTGATTGCATGAAGCCCCGCCCCGCCGCCGGCAAGCGCCGCCCACACACACCGCCCCGAACTCGGAAAGGAAAATGCAAGCTACGAGGCCAATCGATTGCCTTCTGTGCTCCTGCTTTTGCGCGTGCGCAGTACTCTGGGCTCCTGGGCGAAGGAATGACGAAGAAAAAAATAACGGTGGTTTGAGAGAGCGGCACGTGACCGATTGGGGGCGGTTAAGGGGAAGAGTAGGGTGCGGGCCGGTTTGCTTATTGAGGGAATGGGCGGGTCTGATGAGGCAGCGTCAAGCAACAATAAAATGCACCCTTTCCCCAATGCTACGGGGAATATCTTTAGAGATACACCAGTGGCTTCGCTAACCCTGCTCTTTTAACGCATCATGTTTATGAGTACATGGAGACTGAGGTGTTAGGAAACATGATGTACTATTTTATTACTAAGTAGCTCGTTTTATCGAGGTAATGGATAGAAGTACAGTTCTAATGAAGGGACATTGTACATTACCAAGTCAAATTACTGTGGATCTCCAAAACCATAACTAAATAGCTGGAGTCCATTAAGAGGTTGGTAACACAGATGCTTTCTGATTATGGTGCTGGAGAACACTTTTGAGTGTCCCTTGGACTGCAAGGAGATCAAATCAGTCAATCCTAAAGGAAATCAACCCTAACTGTTCCCTGGAAGGCCAGATGCTGAAGTTCAAATACTTTGGCTACCAAATGAGAAGGGAGCACTCACTGGACAAGACCCTGATGCTGGGAAAGACTGAAGGTCAAAGAAGGGGACAGTAAAGGATGAGATAGTGTTATGGATGCAACAAACATGGAATTGCTCCGGAGGACAGGAGGCAGGAGGGCTTGGCATGATGTGGTCCATGGGGGCGTGAAGGGTTGGACCTAACTCCGACTGAACAACAACATAGGCTTTTATTCCAAAGTAGCAAGAATGTGGCAATTAAGTCGAAAAGATAGACATATTTGAACCGAATGATCTACACAACAGAGTCAGGGTATGGTTAGTCACATGGGGTTGCACTGCAGTCCTCTTAAAGCATGCTGAAAAGGCTACCTGCTAACTGTTGAGCTTTGTCAAAGACAGGAGCCAACTTCCTCGGCATGTTCCTGATACATGATCTAACTATATTACGGGTTTCCTATGTAATTACTGTAAATGGATCTATCACTATGGTTTGGCATATATAGACCCACTTGGCTTGAAATACTCCAAGCCCTCCTTTCTAGCTTTTGATCACAAGTAATTCTGCTTCCTGTAGCTGCCCTTACCAGAGTTATCTACACATTTCCACTGACATAAACTACAAAGCTACAAATTGAATGTTTGGAATGGGTTTGGAATCTTAGAACTCTTTCATGAACTGCCTAATATTTAGAACACTTTCGATTTAGATGTCCGTATTATAAGGTGGCACGTAATAAAATCACTCCGCTGACTGAACAAATTCTAGGTCTTTCCGAAAAAGCTAGACTCAAGTTTCTTCTATCTGATAGAAACCCCAAAATTACCCACCAAGTAGACAGTTTCTATGTGCCACATGAGGGGTTCCTCGCTGTACATAGGGCTGCCCTTGAGGCTAACCTGGAAACTTCAGCTGATCCAGAACGAGTTACAGTAATCTAGCCTGGAGGTTACTCTTGTGTGGATTACCATACCTAGGTCAGGGCGAGACAGGTAAGGGGCCAATTGCCTGACTTGGCACAGCTGGAAAAATGCCAGTGACAACATTTGTGATCTGAGCCTCCATTGACAAGAAGGCATCCAGAATCACACCCGGGCTCTTGACAGTGCTGGTGATAAGGGTACACCATCAAGGGCTGGGAGTTGGCCTCCCAGACCTGTATTCCCACCCAGCCACAAAACCTCCGTCTTATCAGGATTCAGCCTTAACCGACTCTGCTTTAAGCATCTCACCACAGCCTCTAAACCAGGGGTCCTCAAACTACGGCCCGTGGGCCACATGCGGCCCGCCGAAAACATTTATCCGGCCCGCCGGCAGGGCCGGCTCGCCTAGGGCACGCTGGCCCTCAGGGGCGCCAAACTGCAGATATGTGCAGTGTGCATAGGAATTTGTTCATAGGGTTTTTTAAAACTATAGTCCGGCCCTCCAACGGTCTGAGGGACAGTGAACTGGCCCCGTTTAAAAAGTTTGAGGACCCCTGCTCTAAACCCTCAGCCAAATTCATGGGAGCAGTTTCTGGCCGGCCACCCATCAGCAGATGTAGCTGGGTGTCATCAGTATACTGGTGGTGACATTCCAGCCCCAAACCCTGCACCACCTGGGTGCATATAAATGTATATATAAGAAGAAAATTTGAGAAGGCAATTTCAGCGTTACACCATAACAAATGGCAGCTGTTCAAAGCTGTTAGCATAGCAGTATGCTACACAGCAGGCAACAAATCTGAAAGTTTCTTTTTCTGGCTGAGTAAACTATAACCCTAAAACTTTATTACTGTGGAGTGGGAGTTACATATATGGTTGGTTTTACAAGTGTGTGTCCACATCCCTGCAATAAGGGATCTTTGGGGTCTATGCTTATATACAAGTGCAATCTTGGGGCAATATTTTGAGATGCCTCATGGCAGAAGACAGTAATTGAGGTTTTAATAATTATTTACATATAAAATAACACAAAAGGCTGGGAAAAGGCACATTAGTTGAATAGGCAGTGCAATAAACTAAATTTGTAGTATTTATTAAGCTACAAAAAACTGGATGGAATAGAAAAATCACATACATTTGGGGAATAAGCAGCCAACAACGAAAACAAATGGCGGAGTGTGGATGTGACGTGTGCTTAGGGGGATGGATGGGACCTGCTTGAATTTTCTATAAGCTTGTACCTGCCAAAAGTCTTCAGTTCTAACACAGTGGCTTCTGGATCTTGCATATAACTCAATAAACTTTCACGCCAAAAGAGAGTTGTTGTGTGTGACTCGACTGGGAGTCTGACACTGCCCTTCAGTTTCTCACCTGGAGAAGATCAGGCCGGGAGCCCAGGCATGCTTGCATGCCTCCCCTTTGTCAGGGGGTGTGGCATATACAAATGAGTTATGCAAATGAGCTCCTGCACCTCTTTCTACGAAATGACCCCTGCTCACAGGGTTGTTGTGAGCATAAAATGGAGGAGAGGGGAATGATGTAAGCCACTTGGGGGACAAAGGTCGGAAATTAATGAAGTTCATAACTGTGTGTCTGCTGGGGGGGGGGCTTATGTCACCCAGGAGGAATTTATCTATGAAGGTAACACTGACCGGTCAGGGGATCATAGGGTCCCTGGAGTCAATGGCTGGGGGGGAGCCAATACAGTGGGCGGACTCGATGTTATTTGGAGGGGGGGCTGGGGAATATGCCCATTGGACATACTGGTAACCTTGCATCATTTCCAGTGCAATACATCACTATTACATCACCACACATGGACGTAATGATGGATGCAGAATCGATTTAGAATGACAGGCTCTGGGCACTGGTTGCTCCAGAACTGGAATGACAGACCCCAGAGTGGAATGATATTCCAGTTCAAGAACACCCCTGCTCCATTGAGGAGGGAACTGGACGAACCGAGGGTGGTGCTGCATGCCCCAGTGGCCCCCTCTCCTCTTCTGTCATTGTCAGGGGTGCTGCGGGAGTGCCCTTGGCAGCGTGGCTGGGCTGGTAAGAAGCACACCCTCTGTGAGCAAATGCCTAGGGTGGAAATGACAACCCCCCTTCTTCTGCCCTTTGGGGACCGTGTGCTCTGTGTGGGCATTGAGGCAGCTGCAGATGCTTGAGGGGTGGACAGCTCGAACCCCATCCCCACTATCAGGTGCCCAGATCTGCTGACAGGAGTTGGTCTCTTTATGGGGGTCGGGGGGTTGCTCCGGACAACGAGCAGAATTCCTGTGCCCCCCCCTCCACCACTGCCTGAGATGGATGCTGTACTCCACCCCCTTGCCACATGGCCCCTGATTGGTTCTGGTGGCCCTGTCCATCATAGTGCCACCACCTCCACATTAACCTCCACTGACCACACGGCACAGTTGCTATAGACTCTACCCTGGTTATGATTCAAAAACACCGTGAACCCACCAACTTTGTTTGCTGGCTGCTGCATAACTTATGCCCACAAGGAACAGTAACCATAGTTATGCAGTGGCTGGCAAGTGTGGCACAGGATTGCTCTGCTCAGTACTGAGATGCTTTAATCTCAGCTTCTTGGGAAATTGCTCACATTTGAAACATTAGGCAGTTCATGAACTATTCCATGTGCCATTAATGTCTGGCAAAACTATTAACCTGGGAGGCAAACAACAAATAGTTGTAATGCACAACATTTTAAATGGCATTCATTGTTGAGTTCTGAAAATATTAGGAAATGTAAGAGCCCAGTGATTTACATGCATATATAATTTAGCTTTACTGTTGTTAATGCTGGTAGTGTGCTTTGAAGATAAAAGAAGTAATATCACTGCCAAATGTGGTTCTGCCTTGATTTCTGGAAAGTCGCCTTCTTTTGAAACAGGGTGTGGGTGTGTATATATGTAATCTTTTAAGAAAAATTAGAGGCTGGGAAATTTCAGTCCTAGGAGAAATTCATTACCGACACTGTAAATCAGTCTAGATTCTATCTGATAGGTGTTCAGGTAAACATTTAGTTTATTAGAATTCTTTCATATTATGGCTAATCTACTAGACTAAAGAGGAACCACATATTTTCACCTTACCAAATGTTTTGAACAAATCTTCAAAAGGAACTGTGCTGCAACTGTAAAGTATAAAATGAGGACAGGGAAAAAGGCAGCCAGGGATATTATAAGAAACTAGCACTTTTTAATTAGGGGGTTTTCCATAATTATTTTTTTGTATCATATGTAGTTTATCATGCAAGATGGAAAAAAACCCATTGTTTGTAATGCACAAAGATTCTGCCTCTAATTTTCACAAGTATTAGGAACCCAGCATCAACTAAGTGATTAAAAAAATCCTCAGATATATTTATTTATTATTTGTTTAATTTATATCCTGCCCTCCCCACCAAGGCAGGCTCAGGGCGGTATATAGATATATATAATATAAGCAAAATATATTAAAACACAGATTTAAATAAGATCACAACATACAAAATCATAGGTGCTAGGAACATATAAGCAAAATATATTAAAACACAGATTTAAATAAGATCACAACATACAAAATCATAGGTGCTAGGTCTTGCAGGCCCTGCGGAACTGTAACAGGTCCCGCAGGGCCCTGATCTCCTCCGGGAGCTCATTCCACCAGATAGGAGCTGCCACCGAAAAGGACCTGGCCCTTGTGGCAGCAAGCCTGGCCTCTTTAGGGCCCGGGGTCACAAGACGGTGTTGCGACCCCGACCGAAGTGCTCTTTGGGGCCTGTGTGGGGAAAGGCGGTCCCTCAGGTATGCCAGACCCTGGCCATGTAGGGCTTTAAAGGTAAGCACCAGCACTTTGAAGCGGATCTGGTATGCTATAGGCAGCCAGTGCAGCGCTTGCAGCACAGGCTGGATGTGGTCCCATTTTGAGACACCAGCAACCAGCCTGGCCGCCACATTCTGCACTAGCTACAGCCTCCGAATTAGCGACAAAGGCAGCCACATGTAGAGAGCATTGCAGTAGTCTAGCCTTGAGGTGACCGTCGCATGGATCACTGTGGCTAGGTCTTCGCGGCTGAGAAAGGGGACCAACTGCCGCACCAGCCGAAGATGGTAGAAGGCTGCTTTGGCAGTGGCTGCCACCTGGGCCTCCATCGTTAAGGTGGAGTCCAGGAGCACTCCCAAGCTCCTAACCTCCGAAGCTGGCACCAAAGGCACCCCGTCGAAGGCCGGGAGCGGGAGCCCCAATCCCATCCCATTCCGCCCCAGGCACAGGACCTCCGTCTTCACCGGGTTCAGCTTCAACCGACTCAGCCTGAGCCATCCAGATACGGCCTGCAATGCCCAGTGCAGATCTTCTGAATTGGGAGTACGACTGGCCGTCCAACATCAGATAGAGCTGGGTGTCATCAGCATATTGATGACACCCAAGCCCATGCCTCCGGACAATCTGGGCGAGGGGGCGCATGTAGATATTAAATAGCATCGGGGAGAGAACTGCCCCCTGAGGCACACCACATTCAAGCAGGTGCCTCCGGGACCGCTGCTCCCCTAATTCCACCCTCTGTCCCCGACCTTGGAGGAAAGAGACAAGCCATTGAAGAGCGAGCCCCTGAATCCCCACGTCAGCAAGGCGGTGGGTAAGCAACTGATGGTCGAGCAACAACAGTGCCGCCACACCGCCTTGATCCAGATGTCTACGGAGGTCGTCAGTAAGGGCAACCAGTACAGTCTCCGTTCCATGCCCAGGGCGAAAGCCGGACTGGAATGGGTCGATTAGGAATGGAGAGATCTGGTTCAAAACCCTGCTTGCCGTGAAGTTTATTGGGTGACCTCCAGGCAATTATTCTTTCTCAGCCTACATCAAGAACCCAGCAGGTTTGTAGAGCCATTTTGCATGCAACATAACTGGTTAAAATACTAAAAATACAGCACCTTGAATTGAGCCTGGAAGCAAATTGGAAGCCAGTGTAGCTGGAACAAGACTGGAGTGATATGGTCCTTATGAGCCACTCCAGTCAACATTCTGGCTGTAGCGTCTTGTGCCAAGTGTCGCCTCCAGACAGTCTTCAAGGACTGCCTCATGTAGAGCACACTGCAGTAATCTAACCTAGATCGTACCAGGGCAAACACCACAGTGGCAAGATTTTTTCTGCCCATTAAGGGCCACAGCTGGCTCACCAGCCAAAGCCAGTAAGAAGAAGAAGAAAAGAGATTGGATTTATACCCCACCCTTCACTACCCAAAGGTGTCTCAGAACAGCTTACAAACTCCTTTCTCTTCCCCTCCCCACAACAGACACCCTGTGAGGTAGGCGGGGCTCAGAGAGCTCTTGACAGAAACTGCTCTTTTTCAAGAACAGCTCTTATCAGACCTACGGCTTGACCAAGGTCATCCAGCCAGGTGCAAGTGGAGGAGTGGGGAATCAAACCCGGTTCTCCCAGATTATAGTCCGTGTACTTAACCACTACACCAAACTGGCTCTGTAAGAGGCACCCCTGGCCATAACTGCCACCTGTTTATCCAACAGGAGGCCTGGGTCCAGGAGCACCCCCAGGCTACAAACCTGCTCCTTTACAGGGAGTGCAACCCTATCCAGAACAGGGGATAACCTATTTCCTGGGTCAGACCCTCCTCCCACCAGTAGCACCTCTGATTTGTTGGGATTAAGTTTCAGTTTATTAGGCTAAAGGCTGTGGCCAAAAGAACCGTATCCAAAAAGGAAAGGAAAAGTTTCCGCTTGTTAGCCCTCATCCTTTCCAAAACTCCGTCCAAGCACCTGTTCACAGTTTCCACAGCCTCCCTGGGATTGGCTGGCAGTACAAGAGCTGAGTGCTATCTGCATATTGGTGGCAGCTCAGCACAAATCTCTAGATGGCTTCTCCCAGCAGCTTTGCATAAATGTTGAAAAGTGTGGGGGACAAGGTAGAACCTTGGGGAACCCCATAGGTCAAAGACCAAATAGCAGAGCAGCAGTCCCCCAGCACCACACTCTAAAACGGAGGCAGGACTGAAAATACCGCAGAACACTGCCTCCCAGTCCTGAAAGGTGGTCCAGAAGGATAGCATGATCAATGGTACTGAAAGCCACCAAGAGGTCCAGGTGAATTAACAGGGTCGCACTTCTTTTGTCCATCTCCCAGTACATGACAACCACCAGGGCAGCCAAGGCCGTTTCAGTGCCATAACCAGGACTGAAACCAGATTGGAATGCATCTAAACAATCCATTGCAACTGCTAGCAGTATACAAGTTCCATCCTATGGAATGAAATATTGTTTTAATCTATTTCGTCAAAAGCCTTCCTATTTGTTAATGTGTTCTTCATCATCATCATCAGAGGACTTATGCATGCCTTCCATATTAGAACAAACCACACTGATCAAACTTCCTAATGACAATAAAGAAAGACCTGTGAGGTTAACTGTTATTGCCATAACTAATCATAAATGCTCCGCTCTTGTTGGGGATGGAGAGAAGCATAAATATTGTTTTTCACTTTTCAGCTAGCTGGAATTACTGCTCGTATGCAATCATGACTTCTTTTCATTCTCCCAAATTCTTTCAGAAATTTTACCTTCTTTAAGCGTTAGGAGGCGCTGCAGGAAAAGTCGCTCGAAGCCGTGTAGCGAGGGAGGGAGCGAGGGAGGGAAAGGACATTTGAGCCTCTGCGGACGCCGTAGGCTTTCTGTCTTTTCGGAAAGCTTCGCGAGCCTTCTCGGATCTCGTACCGGCCCTGCCTGAAGGGAGAGCGTGTGTGGCCGAGATTTTTGTGACTCGAAGTCAGCGGCGGTAGTTGGGCCGGCACGAAGTTCTCGCCGCCATGAGCCGGAGTTATAACGATGAGCTGCAATATCTGGATAAACTCGACAAGAACTGCTGGCGCATCAAGAAGGGCTTCGTGCCCAACATGCACGTGAGTGGGGGGAGCCCTGGGGGATGGGACGAAGACGGGGGTAGCTTTAGAACCAGAATGATTATTAGGGCTGCTTCTGAGCGTGTGCAGACTCAAAGCCGCTTGAGGGTTCCGGCGCATGAAGTGGAAAAAGGGGCGGAGAATGGTTTCCCAAGTCGGGCCCAGGTGCCTTGGATGCTGACTGACGCATGCAGGAGAATGAAGTGGTTGAATGGGCTGCACCATATCAGACTGGTGGAGGCAGGCATTATGGAAATGCTTGTGCAGGCAGGGTGCCCCATCCTCAAGGCTGAATGACACCAGCAGCAATTTAAAAAAAAATCCTTGCACCTAGCAAATAACCTCAAGGAGTAAAAGGAGTGCTCTGAATTGGTGCATTCTGTTCTACCTTCTGCCATCTCATTCTCTGACGTGTGTTAAATAGGCCTTAGGTACAGGCCCACAAAGGGAGGTACAAGTCTTCTCTGTGCTTCCTTAGCAACCTTTAAGCCTCACTTTGGTTAGTACGTCAGCTGCAGCTCTTGAGTGACATGGTGTGACTTGGCACAAGTGCACATACTCTGGTCACATCCAAGCATTGCAGTGCACATTATATGGTGATCTTGCTATTGGATTGTTCTAATTCTGATTGTTGTTCTAGTTGGATAGGTACTAGAAGTCACCATGGTAACCAATTCAGTGAGACTGTGGAGTAGAACTATTTCAAATAAGCCTTCAAACAAGTATGATCCTAACTTTTTAAGTGCTGGTTGACTAAATTATTGAGTGGGTGGAACAAAGGGCTGAATTCTGGCCTTTCCCCAGTCCTCTGAGTTGGAACTGTGTTCATCTGGTTTGTATCTAGGTCGAGTATTTTAGGTGTATCATAACCTTTTTTTAAGCATTAACTCTCAAATATATAAATAACGGGCAATTGAGAAGAACCCCCTTTTAGTAGTCTGCTAGATGCATTTACTTTCAGCTTTTGATTGCCATCCATACTCCATTCAATGCGTGTTTAGGTTAAAAATGATGTGTTATTTTTCTCCTTTGTCTTATCCTTCTCAATGCCTTTAGGTGGAAGGTGTGTTCTATGTGAACGATCCTCTAGAGAAGTTAATGTTTGAAGAGTTAAGGAATTCCTGTCGAGGGGGAGGTATGTGTTTGCCATTAGTCTCTCCCAGTGTCATTACTTCTTTTGCCCTTAAAATGTCAGGGGCCCCCCCACACACATTTCCTTTGAAGAATTCAACATGTGGCATATAGTCCACTGATACAACTAAAGTTTAAGGCTGCTTGAGTAAATTTTGATATATGGAAAATATTTAGGGGATTGCATATAAATGTTATTTATTGTTATGTAACTTTTGTAACACTTTAAAAGAGAAATTAGTGGTTATTTATTTGAGAATGGAAAATGACAGTAATGATTTGCTGTGCTATTTATTTCTGCTTATTTACTTTATGATAACGCATTGTGGTAGGTTGAGAATATACGTACATCCACTGAAACCACTCAGTTCTGACTGTCATGCTTTCTTGGGCAGAGGTTCTCTTGTACTTAGTCTGCATCATTCTTCCAGCTGAAGTCTTCAGTCTCTGTAATACAGACATGATAAACTTAAGGAAGACATCAATATTACTGTTAGAATGTTGCATTAACAGGAGTTGTGCAGAAAGGACATCTTTTTCTCACAATCTGTCATCTTTTCCAGGTGTTGGCGGTTTCCTGCCAGCCATGAAGCAAATTGGAAATGTGGCTGCACTGCCTGGCATTATCCATGTGAGTGGCTCCTTGTTTCTTTACTTAATACCAGTTCTTTCAGGACAGAGGCAGCATAGGGAGGGGTTCATAGTGGGGGGACAGAATTTGCAAGCCTTTCCATTCATCAAGGAATACTGTTGGGCATTGTTACACTGATCCATTACAGCAATTTCTTACTTTGTACACTCCACCAGCTTAGGGCAAGGTGGCAGTTCTTAGGTTTACTTCAGAAATCAGGAGGGCATTTATATGCTTACATGCAACTTCTGCAAGCTTACTTTTATGCTTCTACCAATGTCTTTGTGAGAAAAAAATATTTGGGATCTCTGCACATTTTCCATTGTATATGTGGTCGGGCAACAGGAGCTAAGTTCGCAGTGTTACAAAAATAGCTGGTTTTGTTTGTTTGCTTTCCAGAGATCCATAGGGCTTCCTGATGTCCATTCTGGCTATGGCTTTGCCATTGGTAACATGGCTGCCTTTGATATGAATGACCCAGAAGCAGTGGTATCACCAGGTATGGTCAATTTGGATGTGGTATTATCTTTGCAGAGACAGAACTCTTTTGTAACCCCCGAACTTATGCAGTGTGTTGAAATTTGATTCATAGACAAAATGAGTTTTCTGTTCAGATGCAAGTACATATACTTATGATTTGTAGGCCATTAGTGCACGTGGATGAGATCTGGTTTGGTGTAGTGGCTGGTGTGCTGGACTTTGACAAGGGATAGCCATGCTCAAAACCCTGTTCAGCTGTGAAGCTCAGTGGGTGACCATGGGTGAATTACGCACTCTCATACTCTCTCAGGCTACTTCTTTAATAAGTTTGTTGTGAGAATGAAATGTGGGGAGAGAACACTAGAAAGAACAGTATGTATGTCACCCCGAGTTTCTTGAAGGAAGGGCAGGATAAAATTAACCCATAGAGCTTGAATAATACATTCTCAGACTGCTGTAGAGCACTGGGGTGATTCTCTGCTCCTCCCATTCTTGACTGAGTGTTGTAAAGGCAAAGAAAATATGTCTCTTCCTGTCATGCATTTGCTGACTCCATGTTTGTCTATATAATACATTGAGGGTTATGATAGTTCCCTTGTTTTGAAACCTCCCTTAAAACCACCTAATTTAGCCATACCTGAGAGCCATGGTTTAAACAAGCCCATCATCTTGAAATGCTTTAACCTCATAACAAAATCACAAAGAAGATTTTTTTAAAAGTCCGTTTATAACATTGAATCAAGGTAGAAGTTCAGCCAACTAAAATTTCTTATAACTAACCATCAGCCAATTACCCATCACTTTAGAAATGGGTAGACTTGAGTTGGAGTAATAGGTATGTATTGTTTAAAAGTAATGACCCTCATGACAGTTTTATATACTAATTATTATTTCAGTTTCCTTAAGTGCAAGTTCTGTGAAATGTTATATTTCTGTAGCTTCTGGAATCATGCAGAGCCGTTGCAGGTGGGTAGCCATGTAAGTCTGTAGAGCAAAGCAAAATAGGAACCCAATGGCATCTTAACAAAATTTATTTCAGCATAGAAATTGAAGGGCCCCCCATTTTTTCTTGTGAAGTGTTTTATCTTTAAGAATGAGTAAAATGCTTCTTAAGGCAAGAGATTTAACACTTCAAATGTATAGCACTAGAAAAATTGGAAATTTTGGGGAGCACTGAAAAAATATTAAATATTTATTTTTGAGTAAAACAGCCTGTCTTACAAAGCATTTCACTCATTCCAACTGTACAGTATGAAAAAGAATGAGAACTTTCTCAAATTTTCCAGTGTAAAAATTGGGAAATTTCGGATAACACTTTAAAAAAATACTCTAGACATACAATATTTTCAAAGTGTTTTGTTTAAATGTCAATTTTGGCAACAGCTAATATTCTATAGTGAATTTTATGATAATACATTATTGAAGATTTCAGTGTCATAACATTTAGCTTAATATCCAAAGATGCTGGTAGTCCTCTGTGAAAGTGTCTGTCCAAATAATAGTTTCTTTTTTTTACTGCAGAAGTTGTTTTCCACTGTCAACTTTTCTTTATTCTTTATTCTTACCTCTCAGGTGGCAAGAATTAAAAATATATGTTCTATGGTAGCATAGAATGTAGCAGTTTGCAGTTCTTTTTCAAGAACTGGATTATATTTGCAGTTTTTCTTGCAGAAAATTAAATATATTTATATTTTTTAATTCCATAAATAGGTCAAATATTATGACTTTGTATACTGACTAAATTAAAATGATGCATTTTAGCTTGTTCAATCAGTAAAAGAAGTTTAAGTTTGATAGAAAAATAAGTATTACATATTTCATTTTTCCCCCCTCCTGGGAGAAAATGCTCCCACCACACAAACTTTTTAGCCCATGGTTTCAGAATTTCTGCAAATTTTACATCTCTAGTATAGCAATGAGTTCTGACTCACAAAAGTTTATGCTGGCATAAATTCTATTAGACTCTGAGGTATCACTGGGTTCCTGTTTTATTATGCAGAACCATTGTGTTTCTTCCCACTAGTGCAGCTAGTCTAAATAGGATAGTTCTGTGTCTAATTGTAGCTGTGACCATGTAATCAATTTCACCATGTAATCAACCCTCTGAGTATCGTCTATATTGGCATCTGCTTTTTCCTCTGACAGGTGGTGTTGGCTTTGACATCAACTGTGGTGTACGGCTGCTGCGTACTAACCTTGATGAGTGTGATGTCCAGCCTGTGAAGGAGCAGCTGGCCCAGTCCATGTTTGACCACATTCCTGTTGGTGTGGGATCCAAGGGTGTCATTCCTATGAATGCCAAGTAAGAGCTGCTTTGTTTTCCCCTATGCCACATCCACAACTGGGATGAGTGGCTCCTCCAGTGCTTTGTTTTTAAGGTGGGCTTGTTGGTGAGATGGTGACTTGAGGTAAAAGGAATTCCAGGACAAATATAGCCTGTGCATTCCAGATCCAAATTATTTCTTCTCTCGAGGAGCAGACCTGGATATAGCAGTCCTCAAAAGAAAAGGTACTGTGGTACAGAGGCACATTATAGAATCTGGCTTGCAGCCTTAGTGCCTCGATCTAACATCCCATTTCTTAGGGGACAACCAGTACAGTTACTGTGTTCCACCTTTCAGTCCTGAAGCACCCAAGTACTCTGCTACCCAAACATTTTTGTGGACTAAAAAGTTATTAAGGCTCCATTAGAGCTGCAGCAAGCTTCTCTCCTTCTCAGTAAGTTGTCGAAGTGTAACGTGAGCATGGCAGCGGTCATCTGATCCCACAGCACGTGACGGGAAATTGCATGCTGGGGGACCCCTCCTAGGATGACTGCTCAAACAGTTCAGCCTATTCTCCCACAGACTCACAGTCACTTGCACATGCGAGAGTTTTGCTGATGCTCGTTCTCCCAGGCATTGTGTATGTTCACAGCAGCCATATAAATCATCCTCCTGCATTGTTCTTTCTCACCAGTGATTGGAGACTGCAGGGGACAGTTTTTCAAGCTGATCTCTTCTCTCTAGGGCAAAGTGAAGGTTCCAGTTCTGTCTAGCACATTAGGGGAAAGGGAAGCACATGCATTCATCGAAGGGACCAGAGCCATTTTAATTTATTTATTTATTAAATTTCTGCCCCACCCTCCCGCCAAAGCGGCTCAGGGCGGCTTACAAACAATTTAAAACCAACAAACAGTTTAAAACCAGCAAATACAAAATAAAATACAATTCATACAATTTCAATACATACAGTTAGGCTCTGTTCTAGCTTTGGGGCAATTAATGTGTGCTGTTTGGTATGAAAATACTGGGGTGGATCCATAAATCTTCTAAAGAGCTTTCCTCCAGCGTAAGTGAGTCTTCCTCCAATGGAAGAACGATTTAAGTTGGAGGAAGCCTTCCAGCATTGCTTAGTGGAGTGATAAGATAGAGGTAGGATCTCCGTCTTAGTAGTGACTCGCTATCCCAGTCTCTTCTGAGCTTATGTCCAGTGCCTGAACTGGATTCTTACGGGGAGCAGGCATGTCCCCATTGCTTCCTTAGCAGTATTCTGGCTGTGTGGTGAGATGTGGCAATGAGCCGTTGCTCAGTTTGGTCCAGGGTGGGTTGAATAGTTCTTGTTCTGTCCTACATTTTGTGTGTTCTCTTTAATGGAAGTCTCTTTTACTCATCATAGGGATTTGGAGGAGGCTCTGGAGATGGGAGTGGACTGGTCCTTGCGTGAGGGTTATGCCTGGGCTGAGGATAAAGAGCACTGTGAAGAATATGGGAGGATGCTGCAAGCTGATCCAAATAAAGTATCTGCAAGGGCTAAGAAAAGGGGCTTGCCTCAGGTAACTGGTCTACGGATGCTGTGCTGGGTTGGGCCGCCGTTCTACCCACTGTGGGGATTTCTGATGGAATGTAAATGTGCAAGAAAAAAGCAAGGCTGATAAGAAACCAGTGGCCCTTATCCCAGCATCTAGATACACAGATGGTCAGGTTGCATAGTCAAGTAATTTACTTGTGGTTTCCCTTTTCCTTCACGTGCTGCAGGATCATTTCCTTTTAAGCTGGCTTCAAGCATCTTCCTGAAAGCTATGGGCATCCAGTTTTGTTCATGTGTTAGCAGAATAAAGCCTGTCGTTTGTGATATGTGTGATTAATGTAAAATTAACTGCCCCAAGATGTTGTGGTGGCCAAGTAGCTTAGATGGGTTTTTTACAAGGATTGGCATCTTCCTAGAATTGCTCAGAACAGATCTCCATGTCTGAGGCAATATGCTTCCATTTGCCAGGTACCAGATATTAGTATCTCCCTAAAGTTCCAGAACAAAGTTTGGGTCCAGTGGCACCATTAAGACCAACACAGGTGGTTTTTTTTCTGGGTATAAGCTTTCATGTGCACATGCCCTTCTTCAGATTCCCTGCTGAGGAAATTTAGAGAGAACATCAGCCTTAATAGAAGCAAGGCATTGTTGGTCTTAAAGGTGCCACTGGACTCAGACTTTGTACTGCTGCTTCAAACTAACATGACTACCTACCTGAATCTCCCTAATGTTACATAAGCTTCCTGATGGTCACCTGGCTAGCCGTAGTTAAACATAGATGAGTGGATGAACTACATGGGCCTTTACTTTGCCACAACAAGGCAAAGTTCCTCCATTTTAGTAATGCTGTTAGGTAGGCTTCAGGCTCTCATTGTATTGCTTTCTCTAGCAGTATGCAAGATTGGCAGATCATTCGCTGAATCCGCCAATCTTCTGTTTACTTTTCATATCTGTTCATTTTGTATCTTCCTCCCTCCCCCCAATCTTGACAGCTGGGAACTCTGGGAGCAGGAAACCATTATGCTGAGATTCAGGTTGTGGATGAGATTTATAACGAGTATGCTGCCCGGAAGATGGGCATAGACCACAAGGGACAAGTGTGTGTGATGATCCACAGTGGCAGCAGAGGCCTGGGCCACCAAGTAGCTACAGGTACAGACTCCTTTTGGTGGGAGGGGCTGGGATTGGTGAGGAAGCGTCAGTGGGTAATGTTTTCTTGGAGAACGCCACAAATTCATTTGTAGTTTTGGGAAATGGGGAATAGTGCACATCCTTATTGTATTTCATGTACACGGGAGACTCTCTGGAACACTTTCTGATCTAAGTTGGAAAGCCTTGCAAGATGCGATTTGATTCAATAAGGGTTGACACTGATTTGGGTACTCGTTTTCCCTTAGATGCCCTCGTGGCTATGGAAAAAGCTATGAAACGGGACAAGATCATTGTGAATGACCGCCAGCTGGCTTGTGCCAGGATTGCTTCCCAAGAGGGACAGGATTACTTGAAGGGAATGGCAGCAGCTGGAAATTATGCATGGGTCAATCGCTCTTCCATGACTTTCCTCACGAGGCAGGTGAGAGACTGTACTGATTGGTACACTTCAGTTTCTGTAAGCCCTGAGAACACCCATGTGGCCGAGGTCAGGACGGGTTTATGCCTGGAGTTGGCCCCTGCTCTGGAAGTTCAGAGAGAACAGCAGCCTTAATGGAGGCGAGGCAGCATTTCTTGGGCTGCCTGAAAATCATCTAGGTCCTGCTTGCTTGATATCTGGCTGATATTTTCAAGGGGGTTCAGTTTTTATTCTAGACTTGGAGATATTTGGTTTAAATTAATCTTGTTGTTTTTTCACTCTAAATATCAAGTCTGAACTGTGGACTGGTTTATTTATAGACTCTGAAACACTCTACTGATTGATTTGGAAGTGACATGCTTTCTTTTTATTGTCGTCCTTGTCATTCCCACCAGAGTCAGCCATTGTAACTGGTTAGTAAATTGGTGATAGAATGTCTCAAATGTTTTAGTCCCTCTTTCATTCCGAGGGAGTGTTCATATACAGGACATGAATGGTAGTGGGACCATCAAGTGTGAGCCTTTTCTTACTTCAGTGGCAATTCCTCTGTTGAATCTTCAGCGAGGGAGTGCTGTGCAAGAGTCAGAGGCAAGTGAAGCCATAGGTGCAATTGGAGGGAAGTTAAACACTAATTTCCTTATTCCCTCCCACCCAAACTTGTGTGGGGATAAATGGCATCTTCTGGTTCATATAATCTTACAATTCATGTGTAGTCACTGTCTCTAGAGAACAGTTATCCAAGACAAAGTATTAAAACATATCTCATGGGAGTAAAGGAACCTGAATGTAACAATCCCCGCAACCTCTTCAGATGTCTTTTTCTTTTCTGTTAGGCTTTTGCCAAAGTCTTCAATACCACCCCTGATGATCTGGATATGCACGTGATCTATGACGTGTCTCACAACATCGCTAAAGTAGAGCAGCACGTGGTGGATGGGAAAGAACGGACCCTGTTGGTGCACAGGAAAGGATCGACTCGGGCTTTTCCTCCACATCATCCCCTCATAGCTGTCGATTACCAAGTACGCGTTCGCTGCTGCCTCATCTCTCTCCTTAGCAGCAACAGTTAAATGAAAAACGTCCATGAGCCAGTGGTGATGTAGTGGTTAGAGTGTTAGACTGAGACTCAGGTGACCCAGGTTGCCTTGGGGACCCTGATTGGGCGGAAAGGCAGCATAAAAATGTTTTAAATAAATTCAGTTCCCCCACTCTGCCATGAAGGTGGTGGGTAACCAGTCACACACTCACAAGCTAATTTATATAGCTTGTTATAGCAGTGAATCATGGGGGGGGGGGGTACACATGCATCCTGAGCCCCTTGGAGGAAGGGCAAAATCAAGACCTTAATTTCTCAGTCCCGGATGTCTTTTGTTTGGGGACACCATTCTATCTTCTTTCCTCACACACAAATGCTTGCATAATCTCCTTCCTTTTCCAGGAATATGTTGTTTCCCTGTGGCCACAGCAGTACAACTCTCCTTAGGCCTTGGAGGATGTGACCTCACCCCTGGGCCAGTAACCTGTTGGGCACCCAAGCCCCAGTACTTAGCAAGAAGAACATTTAACCTCATAAGTGGCCTAGTTTCTTTAGTCCTTGTCTCTCACAAGAGGCGCTGGCCCCTTAAAGACAGGGTCACATTGCATCTCCACTTCCCAGTTAGCCAGTCCGCTGAAACCCTCTTAGGCTGAGGTTGCTGTCTGTGGGCCCCCTTGCAGGCCTCACTTCATTTCTTCCTGTCCCATCCTGACAGGTTACTTCCCTGCTCTTCCCCACTGCAGTCAGGGCTAGTGCACAGGTCAGCTGCCTGACTAAATCAAATTGTTCTTGGTGAGGCCTTCATATGCATTCTTCCTGGTGGCATCTTATTGGGGTACCAGCTGCACAACTCTGGTGCGTTTTGCTCAGGCTGACCCATTTCCCATTGGCCCAAAAGATACCCAGCTGCTGCTTCTGGTCTTCCAGACTCAACCTATTACAACCACTTGCTACTGATTTTTCTATAGAAGTTTCACATATGCCATCTGTCCATTCATTAATGGGAATCTGAGCTTGAATGGTATGAATCAGTGCTTCATTATAGGGGTATCTTGCTGAACAATATATGCTTGGCACTTGAAGGCATCTATGACCTCGATCTGATATCTTTTTGGTTTCTCCCTGCAGTTGACTGGCCAGCCAGTGCTGATTGGTGGGACTATGGGAACGTGTAGCTATGTCCTTACTGGTACAGATCAAGGCATGACTGAAACTTTTGGAACCACTTGCCATGGCGCGGTGAGTAGTAAGAATTCTAACTATCCTGGCACTTTGTGACATCCGAATTAGACTTCAGACCCGTATCAACTTTTGGAAAGCGGCTATGCCAGGGCAAAATCTATTGTTTTCCAACGCCTCAGAGATATTGAGCTACAAACATCTTATGCTGCACTTCCGCCTCTTTTCAAATCTCTGAATTCCAAAAATTTTATGTCTGCCCCTTTATACTTAGCTAATATATCCAACCCGAATCACAGATGGGCCTTTTCCAGAGCCAGATTTGATACTTTTCCATCTGCAGTTCTTTTTGGAAGGTTTCAATGCATCCCCAGGCATTTGAGACTATGCTCATGCCCTTCGGAGTCAATAGAGACCCTTCCCCATATATTATTTCATTGCTCCTATTATGCAGAAGAGAGAGCCCTTTTAATTATGCCCTTGATAAGGTCATTTAGGTTCCAAGGACAACCAGTAATCCAGTCTGAGGAACTTTTGCTGAAATACTTACTGGAGGACAAATCCATGGCAATATCAAGGAAGGTTGCTAAATTTCTTTTTATTGCAATTATAAAGCATAAGCACCTCCTTAATACTCCTCATGATGTCTCTTCTCTGTAACACTTCTCTTGAATGAATGAATTTTATTGTTACGGCGCTTAGCCAGCAATTGTAACACTTCGCGATAACCTGGAGATTGTTTTTGATTTTGTATGCTGTTTGATGGGTCTTTGACCGTAATAAACTGATTGATTGATTGACTTCAGAATGCAGCTCCTGCAAGATGACCTCTGTGTAAATGTTTCCTGTTTCATTCCTCTGTGTATGCACTGTGATGCATCTTGCCTTCATGAGAATTCTCAGAATAGTGCCTTTTCCATCTGTAGATGGTAGGAGTGCTGAGTGTAAGCAGTTTTGCATGTCTCATTGAAAGGATGGTGAGCCTGCTCCCTATTGGAGATCCTTATGGGCGGGGCTTTTTTTCTGGGGGAACGCGCCAGAACGGAGTTCCAGAACCTCTTTGACAAAATTCTTTTTAAAATGTTTAAAAGTTCATGAGTTGTCAGTATATAGATTGAAAACTTCATTTCCCTCTTGACCCCCCCCCCCCCCCCCCAAAAAAAGAAAACAGCCCTTGCTTGTGGGCCATACTAGATTGATGCCATTTTAGACAGGAGCTTGGCCCTTTAAAAATGCCACGCAGGCCTAATCTTCACAAGATGCCTTGTCCCACCATGATTCTGGACCTCGCAGCATTTTCAAGTGGCCACGTTCAGCTCTGAAATGGCATCAGCATCCACAGGTCGGACCTGTGGGCACTGTGATGTTTAGTTTGGCCCTCTACCTTTAGTCGCTAAAAGAATTTGAGCAAGTACAATTTCTTGAATACTGTACTTCAATTCCTGTAATTTGCTAGTAAAAGAGCCCTAATGTTGTCAGATGGGCTATGCTTATTTTGTAGGTCTAGAACTAGTCAAGGCTCAACAACTCCTTGTTTGGTTTTGGTACTACTGAGAGAGGAATGTGGCTGACATTGCCTGACAGTTGGAGCCACAGTTAAGTTACTAGGGAAGGTTATAGAGCAAAGAGATACCAAAGAAGCTAGGAGATCCATGCAAGGAGGTCTGTTAAATTTAGCTGAGGGGAATGTTTTATTACATTTTGAGAAACACAGGCCTAGAAGTTGTCTATGATTTATGCTCAATGCTGGCTTCCAGTGAAGACTATAGAAGCAACTGAAATGATAAAATTGCTCTTCAGGGCCGCGCGCTGTCTCGAGCCAAATCCCGACGCAACTTGGATTTTCAGGATGTCTTGGACAAGCTGGCAGACATGGGGATTGCAATCCGTGTTGCTTCTCCCAAACTGGTCATGGAAGAAGTAAGTTGTGATTTTTTTTAGATAAAAAAAAATCTGCCATATTGGGAGTTATTTTTAATTGGCTGGCAAAAGAAAGATCAGTCATGCATAGTCTGGGAGCAACCTATTCCTTGTGCTCTGATATGAACTTTTCTTTTATGTCCATACTGGTTTTCTTGCAACTGGTAGATAAATGAATGTGTTGTGGATATTGCATTTGAATTAATTATTTTTTCCAGCACTTCTCTAATATGCTTCTCCACTACCATCATTAAAAAAAATATTTTCTCTCCCATTAAAAAAAATTCTAATACAGTCCTGCATAAATTAAATAGAATATCTAGAGTATTTTCCCTATATGCATCCTCCTATCTCTAGAGAATACTCCACTAAAAAGATTAAGACGGCCATTTTCAGTGTTGGCCCCACCATGTGAATTTTAGTATGGAAAGAAATCTTCCTTAGGACACTCTTTGCAGGACTTTGTTTTTAAATAAATGCAAAATATTTCAAGTATTTAGAGAGCTTATCTGAGATGGTTTTCTGAGTGGTTCTGCTTAGATTCTTTTCGTAATTAAATTGCTTCTGAACTTTTATAATTCTAATTATGTTTTATGACTATATGCTTGTTAGGTGTAGCTTTATGTTTTGTAAGCCTCCTAGAGCCTTTTTAAACATAGAGGAATAGCAATTGATATTTAAGTTAATGAAATTCTCTTCTTTTTTTCCCCGTCTATTTTATCCTAGGCACCTGAATCTTACAAGAATGTGACAGATGTGGTCAACACCTGCCATGCAGCTGGCATCAGCAAGAAAGCCATTAAACTGAGGCCCATTGCAGTTATCAAAGGCTAAGGAAACTGACCAGAATGACCATTACCCAAGACCTTTGTGCCACCCAGAGTGCTTGGTGACTGTATTCTATGCCTAGATGGAGATATCAACTGACATAGATTCTTTGTTGTTGGAACTCATGGACGTAAGGAGTGTCCAGAAAACACTTTTTGTTTTGAGGAAAGGATGAACCAAAACATGTTGCCACCTAATTTTATGGAGCAATATCTGAAACCAGTTGAATTTCTTTTACCAGACTGTTGAAGAATGGTCATTACTTGCTGCAACTGTAGCCAACGTTAATTCTGTAACTTCTAATTTGTGGGGAAGCGTTTCTGATGGAGGCATTTTCTGATGTAAGCCAAATACATCTATTTCAAGATGGGCTTCTGTTTTGCAGAATTTAATTTGATGAGTCCCTTGCGTTAAAAGTCTAGACCCCTCTGAAATAGAACCATGAACTGAATTCAACTATCAATAGATACTCTAAACAGTTGAAAGGGAAATTGTGTATGCTTGAGTTAGACCAAAACTTGATATTGCCACACAATTGACAATTGGTCCACAAATGCTCTGTCTAGAAGTCCCTGAATGGATAGTTGCATTGTGACTCTCTGCACTAACAGAGGAAGCTGTTGTCTGAAGTTAAGCTTTTACCAGCTGTTTTGCCTCATGACACACCCTACGGTATATCAAGCACAGGTGGCTCATTGTGCCCCTCATGTCAGGTAATATAGTGGTGACTGGCATAGCTAGCACAGGCGTTGCTCTGGTACTGTTCTGTATATATTAGTGACACCTATGTTTGATCTGTTGATAGGTAGGCTCTTGAACTGACCATGCCATGCTATAACTAGTAGGGCTTGATGGGCTTGATCTGGCCCACAGATATGACTTTGACATTGGCATAGTCATTGATCCTCTTGAATTTGATTGGAATCCTGAAAGAGGTTTACCAAAACATCTGAGGTTTTGAAACGTCTAGATAAACGGAGAAAGCAAAACAGTCAATGCATATTGTTGTCATTTCTCTTACACTGACAAGACATTTGGAGAATGAGGAAAGTCTTTCATATTTAAAGATGGAGATTTGGTTTGAATACTAGGATAACAACCCTTCCACTTCTAATGCAATTTTAGAAGAATATTTATCTCAGGTCTTGCATGTCGGTCTCCTTTGATTTATTTCACTTACAGGGGAAAAAGCTACTGGCATGTATAAAATTTAATTGCAGTCAGTAGAGGGCACCTATTTCAAATTAGTAATCTCCGAGAGCCAAATTAAGATGGGGTGGGGGAAGACTTAAAACAGAGCACCGTAAAGAGGAGAAAAAGAGGTCATTTTTGGATGTGTGTGAGAAAGTGTGAGAACTCTGTCCAACACTTTACATGTGAGCTGGCTGGATTTGTGAATAAATGCACATGGATTCCCTTCCTGTGTCTCCTTTGGCCCTGAATTAGGGGCAGAAGCTATAAAATCCTTTCCATAGCAGAGCGAAGGGAAGCCACTTGCTAAAGACTGTAACCTGGCTGCATCCATGTAATCATCTAGAGAACATGGTTAAACTGGTACTTGCTGCAGTCAACAGTGGATTTGAATTAAAAGGGCTAATAAACTTTAACATTAAATCATGGGCCAATGGAAGAAGAAAAGTTGTTGGTTAAGACACTGTTAAAACTGCCTCAGGACATTAGTGTGACTCACATGTAAGCCGCATCTCACCCTCCCTCCCGCTTACACTGTTAGAACTATTTTCAGCCGGGTTGAGAACGTTCACATAAGTTTAAAAGTGGAAGCCTACAACGTGTGATGATGGTCCTCGTCCAGATGTAATTTTTCTCACTAAAGTTTCCTATGGTTCAGTACTGTAGTGATATTGCCTGGATTTAAAAGGGTTGAGATGGATGCATATTCATCCCAGGGGCGGAGGAGTACAATCACTTAGAGAAGTGGTGGCGAACCTATGGCACGGGTGCCAGAGGTGGCACTCAGAGCCCTCTCTGTGGGCACGCGTGCCATCGCCCCAGCCAGGCCCAGACCATCATTAAAGTGTCAAATTCTCTGCCAAATAATTTTAAGTAAATGTAAGCATTTGGGATTGCTTTCCTTACTTTGTTTGGGTTAATGTATGAGTTGTTTTTTCTAAAGTAAAACCTCAGTATTCAGGTTAAATTGCCGTGTTGGCACTTTGCGATAAATAAGTGGGTTTTGGGTTGCAGTTTGGGCACTTGGTCTCTAAAAGGTTCGCCATCACTGACAGAGTAACAATGGAGAAAAAAAAACGGAAGAATATGGTAGGCATCTATTTATTTAGGTGGTTCCTCTCCCACTGTTTTCCTTGATGGCCACCAGCACCTTACAAAAATGCAATTTCTATAAAACAGGGAAAATACCATAAATATAATAAAAATAAATTAAAATTGCTCTATTCTGCTGAAACCTGTGTAGGTCATCCAAGAAGTTTCTTTTGTAAGGCCATAATTTGAGGGTTCTTTTACATTCTACTCTTCGTTAACCATTGTTAGCTTGAAAACATTGTTCAGTTTTTGTTCCCTAGGCAAAAGGGGGGGGGGATTGTAGCCACAAGTCTTCTCTCTCCAATCCTTACAGATTCCCAGTGGGGCTTGATATTTGTGTTGCAAAGACCAATCTTCAGCAATATTAATTTCCAGTGTGCTCTTATAGTGAATTACCTCATTAGGTTAAAAAATGTTTCGGAATTACTTTCTAGGCATTTTCAGTTTCACTGGATAATCTCAGAATTGTATTACAAAAAAAATGAATAATCTTAAAACAGAAGTTTGTTTTTGTGTACCCTGTGTTACAGACCTGCTGGATCAGATCACTGATCCATCTAGCCAGTATCCTGTTTTGCAGTGTCGCCAGTAAGTTGCTCTGAATGGCCCACAAACAAAACATAGAGTCCAAAGCCTTCCCTGATGTAGCCTCCTAGCACTAGTATTGACTCCAAACATGGAGGTTCCCTTTAATCACCACAGCTATTAGCCACTGATGGACTTATCTAATTTGGTTAACCCCCTTTTAAAGATGTCTGTGCTTCTATCACTACATCTGCCAGCAGTGAATTCTGCTTTTCCTCCTCTTTATTCACTGAGTAAAGTACTTTATTTTGTCCGCCCCTCATCTTCACTGGGGGCCCTTGACTTTCAGTAACATGACAGGAGGAGAAAATGCTGTTTCTATCCACTTCCTCTGCCCCGTACATAAGTCTCTATCTTTCCCTTTGTCTTATGTTTCTAAATTGACAAGTCCTAGAATCTTCAGCCTTTTCTCATAGAAACGGTGTTCTAGCATCTTAATCACATTGGTTACCATCTGTGTCCAGTCTGCCTTTATATACCATGACTGTCTATAGATCATCGAGATAAACCATCACAAACTATAATAAATTAAATAAAATTATATTTATATCTTAACTGTGTCCACTTTTATGTCTAATATACATAGATGTAACATCTAAACACTGGTGGTAATGGCTAAGACACACAAAATAGTGCACACAGGGACTCAACAGAATTTAAAACAACAAGGTGCGGTTTTCCCAGATGCTATTTTTCTTGTGCTCGCAGGCACTAAGTGATAACATCCAACAGGCTTACCTGGGACATGCATCTCAGTGATGTTTGTACTGAGGTCCACCTGCTTGAATATTGTCTACATGCAATGGCTCCTTATCAAGTTTTTTGGAAGCCTGTTTCAGCATTATATAACAATGGACACTCAGTCGTTAATTATTTGCTTTTGGAACTTATAGTTTATGCTTATTGTATAAATCACTTAGTGCCTGCAAGCACAAGAAAAATAGCACCTGCATAAACTATTGTGCGCCTGTGAGCACAGGGAAAAACAGCACCTTGTTGCTTTAAATTCTGTTGAGTGCCTGTGTGCACTATTTTGTATGTCTTTAGCCATTACCACCGGTGTTTGGATGTAACATTTACATATGTTTATAGGTGTAAAAAGTGACACTGTTTGCTTATAAATATAAGCATTCTGTTTAATTTATTATAGTTTGTGACGGGTTATCTTGGCATTCTACCCTCCCTTTTTGCTAATTATACACTGGGAGTCTTTCCCTTCTTGTTTGTCTATAGATCACAGCAACCTTCTATCCCTCTTCTTGAGACCCACTCAGGCTAGAGACCTTTCCATCCCTCACATCTCCCTCTTCCCCCTCACCTGGTGGTCCAGCTCTACACGGGCAGTGCTTTGCTCTTTCTTGGCAAAGGCAGCTGTACCATTCCTTTTGTTCTTCCACAGTAAAAACACACTTAACTGACTGCCTTCTCTCTTCAAAGGAATAGCTTCCCTCAAGCATGTGCCAACATGCGTGGACGGCTTTGGTTGCACAGAGAGAGAGCCTGGGCTGTAGTTGGTATTTTGATTTGTCCTTTTCCGGTAGTGGATTAAGGCATGGCATGGTTAACCAAACTAATGTGTAATAATGGAAGCTAACGTGTTTTAAAATTACTGGTCAGAGTTTGGCTTTGGTCCAACAAAGGTGACACTCAAAGGGGGCTGAAAAAAATCTTAATGAAACCATTGAGAAAAGTTTGTTTTAGTTGCTTTGTTCCAAGCTCAACGTTAACACTTTAGAACTCTCTCAAGAAAGTAGAATTCAAAAAGCCCTACTGCTGGAACCTGGTATTTTTGGCCACTGTGTGACAGAGTGTTGGACTGGATGGGCCATTGGCCTGATCCAACATTGGCGTCTCTTATGTTCTTACATTACAATGTTTAACATTTTTAAAATCTAAATAAATACATTTTTAAAATCTATATAAATACATTGTTTTTGTCTTAAAGCTGCAATGAGAAAGCACAAAGACACTTGAAAACCATAAGTACTATTCCTGAATATATTTCTATATAAACTTGCCATTGCTTCAAAGGTTACGATTGATTTTGCTATTTCCCCCCATATTGTGCGCCCTTCGTATTGCAACAGTCTGTCATACGATCCAAAGGACAAAGATGAATACAATTTTTGAATAGAATGATAAGCATGCTATCCTCAAATTCAATTTCTACAACAGTCAGGAGATTTACCACAGCTCTCCTCCCCTGGGACTTGCAGATACCTGATCTGAAGAGATTTCTGTTCCCTCAGCATAGAAGAATGTAAGCAGAAGTTGGGCACAAGCACCTTTTAGAGTTAAAATACCTCAGAGAAGAGAGAAGAAGAAGAGGAGATTGGATGTATACCCTGCCCTTCACTACCCAAGGGAGTCTCAAAGCGGCTAACAAACTCCTTTCCCTTCCCCTCCCCACGACACCCTGTGAGGTAGGTGGGGCTGAGAGAGCCCTGACAGAATTTATCTTTTTCAAGAACAGCTGTGCCAGAACTATGGCTTGCCCAAGGTCATCCAGCATGTGCAAGTGGAGGAGTGGGGACTCAAACCCGGTTCTCCCAGATTACAGTCTGTGCACTTAACCACTACACCAAACTGGCTCTCAGGAGAGACAAAGGCATCTGCTGAAGTTCTTGCCAGAAGAAGTTTTATGACCAGAAATCTGGTTAACTATGGTGAGATAATACTGGAAAGGAGTTGAAGCTGGTGCACCAAGTATTGATAGGGACAACAAGCAGTTCTACTGAGAATCTGCTGAAGTCTATTCCTGACTCCCAGAGGTGTGTTCTTAGGATTCCACTGTAAAAGCGTTACATACCAAATATGAGATCTGCATCTCTATCTGCAGTCAAATACCTAATTGTACTTCCAGGCTGCAACCCAGTACTTTTTGGAGACAGTGCAAGTCTAGTCAGGATAGGTTGCTGTGTAAGCCTCTGTAATTGACACTTCATTCTTATCTAACCTGACCTTTGGTGTATTGGTCCTCATACAGCCTGTTACTACTGTTCAGTTAGGGAACGGCAATACAAATTACCAGGCGGTTGGTGGCTCCTGATTCTACCAGTGCAATGTGATCATTTGGGTTTCCTTGTCCTAGCTTGGCTTCCTCCCCTTTCTTTTTCTCTGTGCTTACATGACTGCTCACCTAGCCAAACACATGGCAGAGGTGTGATATCCCATTCTGCTTATGAACATCGTAAGAGTTTCATGTAGCAGCCAACTAGTCACTCCAGAAAGCCAACAAACTTGAGTATAGAGGTCAAGGCCTTTCCCAGATGCTGTGTCCTAGCACTGATAGAGGTTTGCTGCCCCTGTATGTGGAGGTCAGGTCCCTTCAGTCATCACAGCTAGTAGCCATTGATGGACCTCTCCTCCATGGATCGGTCTAATCTCTCTTTAAAGCCATCTATGGTCATGGCTATGACTACATCCAAAAGGTAGTAAATTCCACAATTTAAGCATTTGTTCAGTAAAGAAGTATTTCCTTTTGTCTGTCCTCAACTTAACTGTCCAATCCACTACTCTGGGTGACCGTCCTAGGGGAACCAAGAACCAGGTGAACCAGGCAGTTCAACAAGCAGATAAATTAAATGGATGTTGTGACCAGTGTTCCCTCTAAGCTGAGTTAGTGTGAGCTAGCTCAGAGTTTTTTAGTCTCCGGTTCACAAATGTTTGTCCTGGCTCAGGAAGGATGGCTCCAGGGCAAACTAATTTATGTGGCAGCCAGATCGCTCACTCACAACTTTAATGCCAGTAGCTCACAAAGGAGAATTTTTGCTCACAAGACTCCACAGCTTAGAGGGAACATTGGTTGTGACCATTTCCCCCTTAAGAAAGCAAACAGTGTATCTTTTTATTACTGGGGTTTTGCCACCCACAAACAGCATCCTTCACCCCTTCCTT